CCATTTGTTTCCGCCATCGCCGGGGACCGCTAGGATTACGAGTCTGGAGCGCTGTCCACTCAGCCGTCAGGCCCCCTAGATCTGCGGTACTGCAGCCGTGATATGACATATGACCCAGAGGTGCATGTAGTTTAACAAACATAATATATATAAATGATTTAGATTCAGGTTTGAGTAGCAACATTTGCAAATTTGCCGATGATACGAAAATCGGTAGGGAAATTAATTCGGAGGAGGACTCACTATCACTTCAAGTTGATCTAGATAGGGTTTTGAAATGGTCAAAGGATTGGCAGATGCAGTTTAATGCTGATAAATGTAAAGTTCTGAGGTTAGGTAATGATGATAGAGTTACAAGATACGAGCTAGATGGTGTTGTGATTGCGAAGTCGGATTGCGAAAGGGATCTGGGAGTTATGATTAGTAAGAATTTAAAACAAAAGGATCAATGCATAAATGTTCGTAATAAGGCAAATCGGACACTTGGATTTATTAATCGCAGCGTTAGTAACAAGACACCTGGTGTGGTTCTCAAGCTATATCTTGCTCTAGTTAGGCCCCATTTAGATTATGCAGTTCAGTTTTGGTCGCCATATTATAGAATGGATATAAATTCACTTGAACGTGTCCAGCGTAGGATGACTAAGTTAATTCCCCAAATTAGAAATCTTTCATATGAAGAAAGATTAACAAAGCTTAAGTTGCATTCACTGGAAAGGCGAAGAGTTAGGGGTGACATGATAGAGGTTTACAAGTGGATGAATGGACATAACCGGGGGGATATTAATAGGGTATTAAAAGTATCAACACAGGACAGAACACGAAACAATGGATATAAATTGGATAAGTTTAGATTTAGGAAAGACTTGGGTAAATACTGGTTCAGTAACAGGGTTGTTGATTTGTGGAACCAATTGCCGCGTAACATTGTGGAGGTGGGGTCCCTCGATTGTTTCAAGCACGGGTTGGACAAGTATATGAGTGGGATTGGGTGGTTATAGAATAGGAGCTGCCTCGTATGGGCCAATAGGCCTTCTGCAGTTACCTTTGTTCTTATGTTCTTATAAGTGCTAATATATGATGTATGAGAACTCTTGAGCGTGTTGTTGTTTATTATCAGGTTCATGTGACTGAATCTCTTCTCTCACACTCAACAGTGCTAATAGGAATAACTTGTAAACAGCTCAGTAATGGGTGTAAATCTTGGGGAATGCGGCGTCCATGATCCTACACATTGTCTCTAAAGACATTTAGTGCAGAGTAAGAAGAAAGCTTAAACCTCTTTCAGAGAGAGAGTATTTGAGCTTCACCATAATTAGATGGTATTTCATGAGGCCAGTAGTCTTTTTTTTCGAGGACACACATTTCACTTAGCAGTGATTTATACATACTTTGAGGTTCAGACGTTTGAGAGCCTTTCGTGCATGTTGTCGTGAACATACAGTTCTGCAAATTGTTCACAAAACTAGTAAGAAACTGTTGATAATTAGTGGATAAAATTTTCTTGTTGCTTTTTATGGTAATTCCTTCAGACTTCTCCTTTTCAATTACCTTTTGAGCTTCTAGTGCCAGGTTTCTCTTTTAGTCCCATGCAATGACCTTATGCTCCTTTGAATCAGATTGTCATCATACACAATCGAAGTAATGTGTTTCCTGTAGACACACTAACAGTAAACCAAGTTCATGCAACGTGTCATATATTATAGCTAAATCCAATAGAAACTGTTCTGAAGTTAGCTTTTTCAACAGACCTTCATAGGTTTTTTATCTCTTCCAAATCTTGTTTCATCTTTCACTGCTTTTTCAAAATGAAAACAAAGTGCTTCATAATTTTTCACACTGCTGAAACTGTTCGAAACGAGCTGCTCCCACCTGGTGCTCAGAACACGGCCTATTTTGCAAACTGTTGCTCAAGTTGAGAAGCACATTCAGATAGTTCCTTTTGATTTAGAGATGATCTAATGTAAACTGGGTACAATTTGTCCATAATAATAACCTATAATAATCTGGTACTATCTTAATCACAGATTCGAACTTGCAGTAGGCGATTCAGTGAGTGTTGTTGTTGTTAAAGATTCACTATCTGGAACAAGAAGTTCCAAGTAGCACGGGCTATGGTGAGCCCGTAGTGGATAAGATTCAGTGAGAGACGCTCATGGAATTAATCATTTCCAACCAAAATGGCTAAAAAGAATTAATTCTATGAACGTCTCTCACTGAATCACCTACTGCGAGTTCGAATCTGTGATTAAGATAGTACCAGATTATTATATCACGGTAATGTTCCCTGAGAATTGTTGCAACGCCAGATTTGACACCCAGCATGACACTTGCATGACACAGCATGACAGCTCTATCTATAAAGCCAACAAACTTTGTAAAATCTCTTTATGTATGTACCTTTGCCTAAATAAAAATTATTATTATTATTATTATTACTTGCCCCATCACTAGCAAATGCTACAAGATTCTGTTTCAAATATAAGCCATCAAACCCATGATAATTGAGACATCTCAATAGATGCCTAGCAATAGTTGCTGCTTTCTGATCAGGTAGTTCAGTCAGATTTAAGAACATGAAATGGGACCCAGTTTATGGAACTCACTCCCTACTGAATTGAAAAGCTGTCCAACTTTTACATCATTCAAAATCAATACTAAAAAGTACCTAATTTCATCTTCATAGTTTTTCACTTTTTGCCTTAAAATTGCACTGTATCAATTGCTACCCAATCTCCCAACCTTTATGTTCCCAATTTGAACATCTTTACCATTGTGATCATTGCTGTTTTCTTATATGTGCTGCCAATCTGTTGTTTGGTGTTTATAAATCTTGTTTATCTGTATCTTTTGCTACCCAGTCCCCCAATCTTTATGTACCCAATCTGAACATCTTTACCATTCTGATCATTGCTGTCTTATATGTGCTGTCAATCTGCTGTTTGGTGTCTATTAACCTTGTTTAAATTACTAATCAAGCTGTCAATGTATTTAATCAGAGCTTTAATATAACAATGTGCTTTAATATACCTACTTATCTCTCTCATCTCATTTTTCTCTTGTAATGTATCTTTATCATTTCAATTCTGATTGAAATTACCTACTTAAAATTATCTGCTAGATTAAGGACCTGCCCGAAACGCTGTGCGTACTAGTGGCTTTACAAGAATGTAAATACTGTACTATCCAATGTATTCTCACAAACCCAATGTACCTTCTTGTATATATATATAAATAAATAAATAAATAAATAAATAAATAAATAAATAAATGGGGAATCACCTTCCTTATCACTTTCACATTTCAACTAAACAATCAAGGTTGTTTTAATGCTTAGGCTTGTTGACTCATCATTGAGAACATAAATGTTGCCATTTATCTGCTTAATATGCTGGCAAATTTTTTTTCATATTAATGGCCATGTGATTATCTCTGTTGCAGTCCAATTCCAATGTCAATAATGTCCCATTCCATATGCAAAGGTGCCGGTTCGGCTCCCCTGCAAGCTCCGGCAGCACTGCACCACTGATTGATATCTATATAACAAGGTACATTGGGTTGAGAAGGTACTATAAGGTACACACATTGGGTTGAGAAGGTACTATAGGGTACACACATTGGGTTGAGAAGGTACTATAGGGTACACACATTGGGTTGAGAAGGTACTATAAGGTACACACATTGGGTTGAGAAGGTACTATAGGGTACACACATTGGGTTGAGAAGGTACTATAAGGTACACACATTGGGTTGAGAAGGTACTATAAGGTACACACATTGGGTTGAGAAGGTACTATAGTGTACACACATTGGGTTGAGAAGGTACTATAGGGTACACACATTGGGTTGAGAAGGTACTATAGGGTACACACATTGGGTTGAGAAGGTACTATAGGGTACACACATTGGATTGAGAAGGTACTATAGGGTACACACATTGGGTTGAGAAGGTACTATAGGGTACACACATTGGGTTGAGAAGGTACTATAGGGTACACACATTGGGTTGAGAAGGTACTATAGGGTACACACATTGGATTGAGAAGGTACTATAGGGTACACACATTGGGTTGAGAAGGTACTATAGGGTACACACATTGGGTTGAGAAGGTACTATAGGGTACACACATTGGGTTGAGAAGGTACTATAGGGTACACACATTGGATTGAGAAGGTACTATAGGGTACACACATTGGGTTGAGAAGGTACTATAGGGTACACACATTGGGTTGAGAAGGTACTATAAGGTACACACATTGGGTTGAGAAGGTACTATAGGGTACACACATTGGGTTGAGAAGGTACTATAGGGTACACACATTGGGTTGAGAAGGTACTATAGGGTACACACATTGGGTTGAGAAGGTACTATAGGGTACACACATTGGGTTGAGAAGGTACTATAGGGTACACACATTGGGTTGAGAAGGAGGGTAGAGGGAGGGAAGGAGGGTGGCAGGAGGAGGGTAGAGGGAGGGAAGGAGGAGGGTAGAGAGAGGGAGGAGGGTAGAGGGAGGGAAGGAGGGCGGCGGGAGGGAAGGAGGGAGACACGAGGGCGGCAGGAGGGAGGGAAGGACGGTCGAGGGAGGGAAGGAGGATCGAGGGAGGGAAGGAGGGCGGCAGAAGGAGGGTACAGGGAGGGAGGGAAGGAGGAAGAAGGGTCTAGGGAGGGAAGGATGGAGGGAAGGAGGAGGGTAGAGGGAGGGATGGTAGAGGGAGAGTAGAGGGAGGGTCGAGGGAGGGAAGGAGGGCGGCAGAAGGAGGGTCGAGGGAGGAGGGTAGAGGGAGGGAGGGAAGGAGGAAGGAGGGTCGAGGGAGGGAAGGAGGAGGGTAGAGGGAGGGTCTAGGGAGGGAGAGTAGAGGGAGGGTCTAGGGGGGGGAGGGTAGAGGGAGGGAAGGAGGAAGGAGGGTCGAGGGAGGGAAGGAGGAGGGTAGAGGGAGGGTCTAGGGAGGGAGAGTAGAGGGAGGGTCTAGGGGGGGAGGGTAGAGGGAGGGAAGGAGGAAGGAGGGTCTAGGGAGGGCGGCGCATGTGGGCTGCCGCCGGACAACTTCGCATCGTCTGTCAACACAACAAACATGGCAGCCACCAAGAAAATCGAAGAGGCGCTCGCTCACATCAGAGAGGCTGAGAAGAGGTAGTTGTGGTTGTTGTTGTTGTGGGGGCGTTGGTAATTGTGGGGGGCGGTGGGTAGTGACAGTTGTGGGGGGCGGCGGGTAGTGGCAGTTGTGGGGGGCGGTGGGTAGTGGCAGTTGTGGGGGTGGTGGGTGGTGGCAGTTGTGGGGGGCGGCGGGTAGTGGCAGTTGTGGGGGTGGCGGGTAGTGGCAGTTGTGGGGGTGGTGGGTGGTGGCAGTTGTGGGGGCCGGTGGGTAGTGGCAGTTGTGGGGGGCGGCGGGTAGTGGCAGTTGTGGGGGTGGTGGGTGGTGGCAGTTGTGGGGGCCGGTGGGTAGTGGCAGTTGTGGGGGGCGGCGGGTAGTGGCAGTTGTGGGGGTGGTGGGTGGTGGCAGTTGTGGGGGCCGGTGGGTAGTGGCAGTTGTGGGGGTGGTGGGTGGTGGCAGTTGTGGGGGCCGGTGGGTAGTGGCAGTTGTGGGGGTGGTGGGTGGTGGCAGTTGTGGGGGCCGGTGGGTAGTGGCAGTTGTGGGGGGCGGCGGGTAGTGGCAGTTGTGGGGGTGGCGGGTAGTGGCAGTTGTGGGGGCCGGTGGGTAGTGGCAGTTGTGGGGGGCGGCGGGTAGTGGCAGTTGTGGGGGGCGGCGGGTAGTGGCAGTTGGGGGGGTGGGCGGGAGTTGTGGGGGGCGGCGGGTGGTGGCAGTTGTGGGGGTGGTGGGAGTTGTGGGGGGCGGCGGTTAGTGGCAGTTGTGGAGGGCGGCGGGTAGTGGCAGGTGTGGGGGGCGGTGGGTAGTGGCAGTTGTGGGGGGCTGCGGGTGGTGGCAGGTGTGGGGGGCGGTGGGTAGTGGCAGTTGTGGGAGCGGCGGGTGGTGGCAGTTGTGGGGGGCAGCGGGTAGTGGCAGGTGTGGGGGCGGTGGGTAGTGGCAGTTGTGGGGGCGGCGGGTGGTGGCAGTTGTGGGGTGGTGGCAGTTGTGGGGGCGGTGGTGGCAGTTGTGGGTGGGTGGTGGGTAGTGGCAGTTGTGGGGGGGTGGTGGGTAGTGGCAGTTGTGGGTGGGTGGTGGGTAGTGGGAGTTGTGGGTGGGTGGTGGGTAGTGGGAGTTGTGGGGGGCGGCGGGTAGTGGGAGTTGTGGGGGTGGGGGGCGGCGGGTAGTGGGAGTTGTGGGGGGCGGCGGGTAGTGGGAGTTGTGGGTTGCGGCGGGTAGTGGGAGTTGTGGGGGGCGGCGGGTAGTGGGAGTTGTGGGGGGCGGCGGGTAGTGGGGGGTGGCAGGTAGTGGGAGTTGTGGGGATGGTGGGTAGGGGCGGTGGGTAGTGGTTGTGAGGGTGGTGGGTCTTGGCAGTTGTGGGTGCAGCAGGAAGTTGTAATTAATTATTAATTTTGTTAGGGACAGGAAGCCTGTGAAATTTACATACATTAGTAGGTAGTGGTAGATGTGGAAGGTTAGGGTAGCTATGGGGGGGGGGGAGGAGTAGTAGTAGCAGTTATTTGGGGTTATGGCAATTAGTGCAAGTTGTGGTAGTTGCAAAGACAGTTGTAGGGGGGGGGTAATTGTGGCAAGTAGTTGGGATTAGGGGGCAGTGACATTCATGTGGGCAGCATATAATGGCAGTTGTAGGGGGTGATGGGGTTATGACAGTTGTGGTTGGTAGTGGAGATTATGGGCAGTAGTAGTTGTGGGGGGGGGGGTTTGCAGGATCTGGTCGTTTTTGGGGTGGGTATAGGTGGAAAGAAGTGGCAGTTGGGCAGTGGTGGGGTAGTGGGTATTGTGGATGCAATGGAACAGTGGTGAGGTAGTGGGTATTTTGGGTGCAATGAAGCAGTGGTGGGGTAGTGGGTATTTTGGGTGCAATGGAGCAGTGGTATTTATGAGGGGGGTGGGGATGGAAGAAAATACAGTAATGTATATAGTGGACTTCATGAAGTAGTGGGAGTGTTTTGTCTCTGCTGATTTAACATAAGAAAGAGTATGATTAGTCAAAAGTTTAATGGTCAGTATGAGAGTACATGTATTTGCATTGTCATGGAAGGAGGGTGGATAAAGTAACGAGTGAAGATATCTTATAAAGATATTGTGGAGTACAAAAACCAGTAAATTATCAGATTAAAGAAAGGGTATACTGTAGTGTAGCACTACCTTGAGGTTACCTTGAGGTGCTTCCAGGCCTCAGCGTCCCCGCGGCCCGGTCGTTGACCAGGCCTCCTGGTTGCTGGACTGGTCAACCAGGCTGTTAGACGCGGCTGCTCGCAGCCTGACGTATGAGTACTGGATGAATGGATGGCAGTTTTTTTTTAGTATACTGTATTTTACTCTGCTAGTATACTGTTTTGTTCTATTTCCTCTGGGCTGATGCCTCTCCATCTCATCAAAGTGGGAAACTGGGGGATTGCTAATGATTTAGTTTTGCCATTCATTTTCTGCAGTGTACTTATTTATATGCATTCCCCCATATGTCCTATTTACTTTACTGTACTTGAATTAACATTGAATTAATAATTCATGGATTTGATATACTGTACTTTTTATTTCTAGTCTTAAGACAAGTTTGCTGAAATGGAAACCAGACTATGATTTAGCGGCTGACGAATACAATGCTGCAGGTGAGATGAAGCCATGTTTTTCTAGTTAATGAAGATACTCTACTGAACTTTACTTTAATTGATTTTTGTTTTTGCTTCTTATGATAATAATAATAATAATAATAATATGTACTTGTATTTTATTTATAAAAACTGACAATTTCTGATTATTTTTATGCACTGATTACCGTGTCATTACATGCAACACTACAGACATACTTTAAGATAAATGTGTGTTTTGTGCATATTTGTGGTAATATTTAATTATATTACTGAAACGACGGACCAAAACGTCATCGTCTCTTCTGTTTCTAGTGTGTGGTTTGGTCAACATTTATTCAGCCACGTTATTGTGACTACCATCTGTAAGGGAATGTATGTATGAATGTCCAAAGTTGGAGGTCAGATGCTTGGGCCTGACCTATCCTAAATTTGCAGGGGAAGTGGTGTGGGGTACGGGATGGACATAGACTGGTCAGGGGAGGCCTAAGTTAAATGCAATAATAAATATAGCGTGTCACTCAACACCCCCTAGCAATTTTCATGAACTTTGAAATGAATCTGGGATGAAATCAGGAATGTAACATCCATAGATGGTGAAGTTACTTGCACTGTTTACATGCACAGTTTCTTAATAATAATGTACAATATATTGTCTGAGAGAAGGGGAAATGGGGGTGGAAGAAGGGATGGGAGGTGGGAAGGATGATGGGTAGGACCATGGTGGTGGAGGAGAGGGGGGGGGAGAGGGGGAAATAAGACCCATACAGTTCTTTCAGTTCTTAATATATTTTCTGAGAGAAGGGGGTAGAGGTAAAGGGAGCAGAGATGGAGGGGCAGGTGGGGTGAGATGGAAATGGGGAAGAGGAAGGGTGGGGTGGCGGGGGGCGGTGCGTCAGTTTGATGATGTACCAGTTCAGGTCTGTTTTGGGGCGCCTACCTTTCTGGGTGCCTAACCCCGGTCAATGGCAGATAAGAATATACTCTCAAAGAGAGGAGTTTTCAAAGGCCATTGGTTCATTTGCCTCTCTGAGGGAACCAGGTTGTGGCTCGTAGGTCCTGGTAGGCAGAACTGCATATGACTGAAGCCCCAGACTAATATAGGGACTAGCCCCAGACTAATTTAGGGAGCCGGTCGGCCGAGCGGACAGCACGCGGGACTTGTGATCCTGTGGTCCTGGGTTCGATCCCAGGCGCCGGCGAGAAACAATGGGCAGAGTTTCTTTCACCCTATGCCCCTGTTACCTAGCAGTAAAATAGGTACCTGGGTGTTAGTCAGCTGTCACGGGCTGCTTCCTGGGGGTGGAGGCCTGGTCGAGGACCGGGCCGCGGGAACACTAAAGCCCCGAAATCATCTGAAGATAACCTCAAGATAACCTCAAGATATAGCTAATATCAGTCTGATAGCTCCAAGGAGCCTCTGGGGCTCACCTAGAAAATGGCGTTTCATTACATTCAACGCTGGTTTTTTTTATATGTGGCAAGGGTTCCAGTACCCCAATTAGCTTTGCTCTACTTGCTTGTAGGTGGGGTACAGTTAGTCGTTCTTATCTGCAAGTTCGTTATGTTGCTGGCTATGATTCTTGATGTATGTATTATTTTGGGTTTATTTAAGACTGGTTATGTGTACCTGCCTGCTGCCTGGTGAGATTCTGTGCCATCTGTGAATCAGTGGAGGCTGTAGAATCACTAAATTGTGGAGCTTTTGTGTTGCTGATATTTAAGTTGTTTTTATTATGTTGTAGATACAAGTACTGTACTGTACAAATACTGTTTAGGTAAATGTACTGAATAGTAATAATAATAATAATAATAATAATTTTTATTTAGGTAAGGTACATACATAAAGAGATTTTACAAAGTTTGTTGGCTTTATAGATAGAGCTAGTACATACAATGCCTAAAGCCACTATTACGCAAAGCGCAACGCAACTATTACGCAATAGTCTAAAGTATTGTACTGAAGGTATTGAAGTATTGTACTGAATAGTATAAAGTATATAGCTTAACATTAGGTATAGGTATTGTATTGACTTTGTAATATTATGAATCTTGTGTATTTCAGCCACATGCTACAAGACTGCCAAGCAATATGCTCAGTGCCGAGAGTGCTTATTGAAGGCGGTGGAGAACTACAAGCTGAACCGATCGTATCCTTTGATTTGTACTGTTTGGGACGTTATACTGTACAGTAGCTGTTGTATTCTATTAGGTTCTTTAAAATATTCTTCAGAAGAAGTCCCCTTTCATTGGCACATATAAATACTCATATTAGTTATGTACACTGATTTGATGAGCAGATGTTACAATTAATGACTGTATATTATTCCTTAATTCTTTCCCCAGATTTTTTTCAGCTGGCAAGTAAGTGTGAAGCAGTAATATATATTGCATCCTTTAATGTTTTAACGTTTGTAACCCATTTTTTTTAATATATTTAAGACCAAATTAAGCACCTCCTATAATAAAGATTCTGCATTCTGTAACTTATGTTTTTACTAAGCACCAGTTAATAGTTTTAGTGGTCAGTAAAGTAGGATATCAAACTTTACAACCAGCAGAACTGAGACAGGAGAAGTGCAGAGCCTGTGTAGTAGTGCTAGTAATACTACTTGTACCTAACCTTGCAGTTACCTTGCGGTGATTGCGGGGATCGAGTTTCTGACCACGTCTCCTGAATGATGGAGGTGGTTTATGTTATACACAGCTTAGCTTAGAGACAATATTTTATAATACAGTATATAAAATTTCTTTGATTACTGATATTTGTATATCACTTTGGTTCATTTTCTGAGCTTGCTTTCTGCTGCTCCTAGAGGTATGAGATGTGCAGTGCTGTCATAAAATTGTTTAAGAGTTGGGCATAATTTTGTCTCTGCGCTGCTATATGGATTTTGGTATCCCTGTAGTACCATTTATAGGTGCTTTAGCATCACTAACAGCAACTTCAGTCAGAATATGTTTATATAGTACTGTACTTTGAAATATTTGTTCACAAGCATAAATCTTTCAGTCCCATTTATACTGTACTGTATATTGAAAGTGAAGCAGACAGTGATAGGCACCTAATAACATAACCAATCAAAGCACATCTACTTTTCCCTAGCCACTAAAGAGACAGCACCAATGTAATCCAGACCCTCTTCATCTATACCAACCTCATATATATCCTGACTGTGTTAGAAGCAGTAGTAGGCAAGTGGGTGTCCTATATTTTATCAAGCTTGCAGTCACAATTTTAGTCTTGAACTCTTTCAGGCTCTGGGGAGACTATGTTCCAGGTCGTAGTCTCTATACATGACCTGGCTTCCACATGTAAGCTTTGGTTGTAGTGACCTGCTCATTTTTAGTTCTAGTGGTCTAGTTTCCGAACCTTCATGTTTTTCTTGGTGTCAACCTGTGTCTTTCATTTTGCAAGTTGTCTTGTTCATTTTCTCCTCTCTGGCCTGCTTGGTCTCCTCGAGAGCCTTCTTGGTCTCTGGATTTGGTGTTGGTTTTCTTTCCTGTTGGTTTTCTGTTACCCTATTGGTCTGTGATTCTTTTTCTGTGGCTTTGTTTTTGTTAGCCTTCACTTCCAGTTGTTAGGTTGGCAAGTTTCATGATCTAAGGAAGTGTGGGGTTTATTCTTTTGGCCCTGGTGGGCAGTTTCTTCGTCTGCAGCCTTTATCTTTTTTGACTAGGTATGAGATCCATTAAAGATACATTGAAGGTAAGAAGGGTCCATTGCTATTGATTCCTGGTTTGTTCAGCTGGGAGTGTTTCATTTGTCATCTTATTGTGGCTGCCCATTGTTATCTGTGTAGAACCCAGGTTGCCTCAGGTGATGAGTGTTTGTCAACTCAGTGTCTTTGAGGACTTGGTCTAAGGCCAGTTTGTTTCATATTGTCCACAGTATCATTATGTGTAACTTCCCTGCAGTCTATTCTTGGATTCATGATGTCCTGTATGTCCATTTGTAGCTTTGTCTGCAGTCTTACTGAATATATATGTATTAAATATCATGGGCTGACATTTGGGCTTGAGGCTCTAACAGGATTTTGGCAGCATCTTAGCTAGTTAGCCCTTCTACTGCACATATCAGATAGGTATCTTGTGCCATACTTGATTCTACTGTGCAAGTCAAATAGAGATGATTTAGAGTACCAAATAAGATTTAAAAGTTTTGTGCATACTTGAGGCTCACATTTGCTTCCTCACTCCTCCAGTAAACAGACACCATCTTGGAAAACCTACCTGTATGTGAGGGGGTTTCAATATTGAGAAGCAATTACAGGTAGTGCATGCTGCAGCAGCTCATAGTACTGCTGTGCAGCTTGTATCCACCATCTCACTTATTATGGATGAAATAAATAAATGACTGATTATTTTGCATTGATTGTTTCATAGAAGATCCTGACTGTGATAAAGACTGGGTGCAAGTTTCAGATATCAGTGAACACAGTGCTGATTATTATCATCACAGTGGGAGGCAGACATTCACAGCACACAGCTGTGGTTATGTGCATCTCCGCATCATGAAACAGGACCATATTCCTTTGGAAAATAAACTTGTGGAAAATTATTCATATTCATGATTTAGTCTGTTGTCTGATTATCAGACAGCAGAATCATTATATCGTCAATTGAAGGCTGTTACCTAAAGGCCTTGGCATACCTTGACTACAATCTTCCTTTGGTCCTGCTCGGTGTCCATTTGGTGATGAATGAAGACAGTGGGTTTTCAGCAGTAGATCCATCATATGGGTTCAGCCAATGGCTTCCAGGTGAATTCCTAGCTCCAGTACCACTGGCTGCTTCCTGGGACTCCATGTTTATCCTAAGACTTCAAGTGGCCATGGCAGAAGTGTGCCTTCTTGAGTTCCAAATGGACACATGAAAACTCACTATGCAATAATAGGTCTCTAAATAAAAATAGCTTTATATAAAAAATATACTGTATAATTGCACATTATATAGGGCTGTGTGTTTATACAGTACATATGTTTAAGACATCAGCCAAGTGACAGCTAAAAAAAAAATATACATAAGCTAATAGGAAATTAAGGTAAAGACCATTTGCATGTTTGATATTTGAAGATGACCAGACCCCACACTAGAAGGTGAAGGGACGAGGACGTTTCGGTTCGTCCTGGACCATTCTCAAGTCGATTGTCTTGAGAATGGTCCAGGATGGACCGAAACGTCGTCGTTCCTTCACCTTCTAGTGTGTGGTCTGGTCAACTTACTTTAGCCACGTTATTGTGACTCATCGCCTGCATATTTGAAGATGATATTCATTGGTATCTGGTATTTACTTTTCTGCAGATGTCTAGAGAATGCTGCCTTAATAAGCAAGGAGTTGGGAGATATGGATTCCATTTTCAAGTTGGCTGAGCGGGCAGCCTGCATGTATCAGGAACATGGGATTCCTGACACAGCAGCACTTAACCTTGAGAAGGCTGCCAAGATGATTGAAAACCATCTACCAGAGAAGGCACTGCACCTGTATGAGCATGCTGTTGACATTGTCATGGTAAGTTACTGTTTTAATTGACTTGTGAAGTATAAGTAAAAATATTGTTAAGTTTCTGCACAAAGGTGTCGTTTATATTACTGTGACTTTTTTTTTGTTTAATTCTTCTTACATGCCACTTGCCTCTGCCTCTTAATGCTACTGCAGTCCAATGACATATTTTAGTGCCATGCTACTTGATGGTAATTGATCCGGTGATATTATATTGTTTATTTTATTCGATGAGGTTATTTTTGTATAACTGAATCGCATGCAAATCACATGCACATCACGTATGCCTGAAATGCTGTGCATAGTAGTGGTTTAGGCATAGTATATACAGTACTTGCTTGATCTAGAAATCCGATGTTCTGTTTGTAACTCATTGTGTGTGTATGTATGTATATTTCCCTAAGTCAAATTATCATTATCATCACATGGATTTGTAGGTACTAGACATGTGCAGTGTTGTCCACACACTGGCAAGAGTAGTGTAATGTAACTACTCGTAAGTAGTTACATTAGGTAACTACTAATGGTTATATTAGGTAGGTGTGATTTGTAGGGTGTAATGTAATTGCTAAGGTGTAGTTGGTAATTTGACTGGTAAGGTATGATTGGTAATGTGACTGTATTGTTCCTTGGAGTCTTAAACAGTAGTTACAGAATTAGTTCTTTTGAATTACTCATTAACTTCATAGTGTTTCTGGACAGTAGTAATGAGGCATTAAACAACAAGATTACTGACACTAGAATTTCAGCTAAAAATGTGTTCGTGGATGCCACACTAGGTATACCACTAACAGGTATATTGTGCTACGAATTGGGTATACATAAACGTACAGAAAGTATAAAACAACGCATTGCTTTCAGACTGAAGACCGGCCTCGTCAAGCTGCCGAATACCAGAGTAGAGTGGCTCGCCTCAATGTCCGGCTGCAAAAGTAAGTCCTATGTATTAGGCATACCTGGTACAGGTGCATAGCTTACTATTTCGTCAATATTAATTTGAGTTTCTCTCAAATTTGTAACGACTGTGCAATGTTTGTAGAAAGACTAACAGGCTTGAAATGTCTAAAACTTACAATAATGACACATGATAGGCTGGTATTGTTGTTGAGTCTTGTATTCCCATGGTGGCAAATGTTTTAGAACCGTTGTAACTCATTACTGGGGTGGAGGAGACATTTTGTGATGTCTTGAAGAGACACCTGATAAAATAAGAGCACTTGCACCAAAATTTCTACCCCATCACATTTTTTCAAACGGTAATGTAGGAAATTTTGCAATAGGGCCAATTATATAATGTATACGTATAGTACAGTACTGTACTGTATTTAAAAAAAAAGATATTAAATTGAAATTTGGAAAGTGTTCCTTTGAGTCATTTCTTATTGAATTATAATTTTCATCATAAACCTACTGGTTTTAAAGCTTGAATTGTTTTGTATTTCTTTAAAACTACTGTGAGATCATTGATAATAATTGGTGATGCCTATCTCAGAATCCATCTGGCAGTAAGCCATTAAAATGTTAGTGGGTCTTACTTTGTGTAGTATAATTACCTGGTTAATCATATGTACATCCTACCTAGATTGTAAAAGAATTTTAAATTAGTTATAGAGCCACTGTATACTGCATCATAACCACTGCATCAGTTATACACTGATGTCATGGGGTTAAGTGACGTGTTAAGATTTGGTTTATGGAGTGAGATAGGACTACTTACTGCTGTAAGTAGTCCTACAATCAACCAAATGTTTGAGTCAGACTGGAGCCATAGTTCCTGAAGTGTGTGAGTGTGGTTCTTACCTTTCCTGGATAAAATATTGCAAGTGCTTAGGCAATGGCTTCTGTTTTCTCTCCAGCAGCAACAGGGTAACTTCCTTTTTGTATGCATTTTGATTTGCATGACATTTTTTCTGGGGGGAGCCCCTACGGCTTCCCAGAGCTTACTAGGCTGATATGCTAATGTCAGACTTTGGCATCAGTCATGTGTATAGAGTTCTTTGGGCCTACTGGGGACCACGAGCCAGAACCTGGCCCCCTCTAGAGAGGCAAGGGGAGCAATGGCCTATAGAAACCCTTGTGTGGTTGGAAGCATTCTATGTTTTCCATCGACCGAGAAAGGTAAGCGCACCCAGAAAGGTAAGCGTCCCAAAACAAACTCTTATTCTGGTGAAAATTGCAACCAAAAGCCAAACGAGTGGATAGAACTCTCCAAACAAAAACTAGCAAACTAGTATGACGTCACCCGTCGCCGCGCTGCCGTCTGTGCAGCTCCCCCCTTCCCGGGAGGGGGAAGGGGTAGCCCCAGACCTCCAGCGTCGGCGACCCACACCCCAGTTCTTCGGCTGATGCTAAAGGCTGAGGTCATGTGCTCTGGCTCCAGTGGTTGTTTCAGCACTCTACCTAGCATGTGGTGACTGTCTTATAGGTGGTGCGTGAGCCGGGAGTGTTTCTCCAGTATTCGGGCTGCATGCGCCTAGGGTTTCCTTCCCTAGGTGCCCTGTAAGTATGCCTTTGGGGCTTGGGCTTCCCCTCCACAAGTTCTTTGGGTTCTGCCCCCTGGTAAGCCGTTTACTGCTTGGTTTTCAGCTGCCCTTTGTGTGCTAGGGTGTTCTGCCTCCCTTGTTCGCCTTAGGGTAAGGGGCAGTTTGCACTGATAGGGGCGCAGGGTACTGTGCAGCTTGTTTTTACCAATCATAGCGGCGAGCTCTGTTCCGCCTGGGTACGCTGTCCTCTTGCTGGGTTTTCTTTTTTCTTTTTGTTTGTCTACCTGGTGGGGGAGTCTGCCTTTGATTCGTGTCCCCTTTGTGCTGAGTTTTCTTCCGGTGGTTCCCCCTGCTAGGTCCCTGTGAGTGTACACGTCCTGGGGGTTCAGTTCCTAGAAAGTTGTTTGGTAGACTTGGGTGCCGGTTAGCAGTACCCTGCCTGGGATTACCTGAGCGCGAGTCCTTGTATAGTAAACGCTCAGGATCCTGGGAATCCCCTAGGGGGAGCGTGGGCCCGATGGATGTGGCCCCGGAGTTCCCCCTCGCTTGTGTGAGTTTGAGGGGTTGCTCTGTCCCCTTGTCTCAGGGTGACTCTCCCTGTTTTGCCTTGTCTGCTGCCTGTGGGGTCGGTGACACCTTTGGCCTTGAGTCCTGCGGGTTTTGTTGCTTGTTTGTGATTTGGTCAACCTGTCTTATGCTGACTGTGTGAGTGCAGGCGGTGCACGTTGTGTTTCGATGGCAACGCGTTAGGTTGTTTGCTCCCCGGTAGCTCCGAGGCTGCCCCGTTTTGGTTGGTGGTGGTAGTCTTGTCGGGTCCCCCTCCCCCCTTCCTCCCTGCATCCCGGTCCTCACCGTCTGTGGGCTTGCGGTAGGGGTGGGGCTTCCATGGTTTTGAGACTCGGTTGGTCTCGGGGAATTCCCCTTCTGGGGTAGCGACGGGGTCATTCGAGCCCGTTCCTCCAGCCGTGTTGCATGAGTCTGCCAGTGTGCTCCCTTCCTTTGTGCTTTTCATGGCTACCCTGGTTTTTTCTTGTGAGGCTGGGGCTTTGGGGGAACAGCTCAGCCCCGGATCCTGCTGTGTGGGTTCCCGGGGCTGGGGTGGAGCTGACATGGGGGGCCTCAGGCCCCATTGGACCCCGCGGGGGTTTTCTACTCTCTGGGCGGGGCTTGCGGTTACGCGGAGTGGGGTTTTTCCTTCCCCACTCTCCGCACGAGTTGTTGGGCGTTGGCCCCTCCCCGGGCTCGGTTCCTTGTCCATTTAGCCCGTTGGTTCTGTCCTGTTTTTCTCCGTTCTTCACCCCTTTTTTTTGGGGGTCGGGACTTCTCTGTCATGTTCCCCTCTTCTTGGGGTTCTGCATGACTTTTGGTCTCGGGTGCGACTGGGCCTTTCTGTGCCTTCGTCATTTGTGCTTGCTTCTATGTATTCTCGAAGGTTCGGGACGGTTTTTGCTCCTTCCCGTATTATTGGAATGTCTGTCGTCTTTCGGTGCAGCTTCCCTCCGGTCCTTTCTAGGGTTTGTTGGTCCTCTTCCGGGTTGCTTCTTGGTTTTTGGCCCTGTCTCGTTCTTTTGTTCATGTCTCTGCTCTCCATGATGTGTCTCGGCACTGCTCGTTTTCCTTTCCTTCTCCTGGTCCGGGTTGCTGGATTGGGCTACTTGTAGCCCGCTTGGGTTCCGATTCGGTTCATTGTTTTCCTTACATGAGCCGGCTATGTGTGTCGTTGCGTACTTCTTTTTGGCTTCTGTTACCATGAGTTGGCCTGTTTCTTCAGCGAATAAGTCGAGATATGACCCTTTGGGCTACTTTTCTGCTCTGTTGTTGAGCGAAGTAGGAAAGAACGGAGTATCCCAACCAGTTGGGCTACTTTCTTTCGTGTCCTGCGGATGCGCCGTGGAAGCTTGTTTTGGTTCAGGGCGGTGTGCACCAGTGTTGGTGTTCTGCGTCCATTTTCTCTTGGGTGCTTCGCCTCTTGCTCTTCTCATTCTCCATTCCGTGCCCCGTTGCTCTTGGGGGTGTTCTGGAGGGCCACTATGGGAGGTCGCCAGAGTTTTTCCCTACTTTTTGGGTGGGGGCGTCTCCTTTGCCTCTCCTCCCTCCTTCTCCTGCATGAGCCTCTCCCCCTTCTCCTTCTCCCGGTTTTCTCGGCTCCGGGTGCACAATGCCCTAGCCACCCCTGTCGGCTCCATTCTCATAGGATTATGTCATGGCCCTTCTGTGCCTATGTTCTGCAGGTGAGTTGGTGCGGTCTGGCATCTCCTTCGGACAGGCGCTGTTTCATTTTTGGGGGTACGAATGGGAGTACATATGTACATGAGAACATAGAAAATACAAACAGGAGTGCCTGCAGAGGGGCTATTGGCCCATTCGTAGCAGTTCTTGTTTCTAACCACCCATTTCAATTGTCAGATCACAGGTGACTGCAGGAGGCCTCTTGGCCCATACAGGGCAGCTCCTGACTATACTCATCCAGCCCCTCTCCTATGCATGTCCAACCATGCTTGAGTTTCAGGGCCTCACATCCACCTTGTTCTAAATTGCGAAGGTGGAGGTGCCTGTTACGTAGTACGTGTTCCTGTGTCGAGGGTATTATGTTCTCCCCTACTTGTACTCCCCTAATTGTGCTTGTGGGGGTTGTGCTCTGGCTCTTTGGTCCCGCCTCTCAACTGTCATTCAACTGATGTACGGTTTCCTGAGCCTACTGGGCTCTATCATCTCTACATTTGGAACTGTGTGGGGCCAGCCTCCACCACATCACTACCTAATGCGTTCCATCTGTTAACTACTCTGACACTGGGAAAGTTCTTTCTCACGTCCCTGTGGCTCATTTGGGTACTCAGTTTCCACCTGTGTCACCTTCTTCGCGTACCACCCGTGTTAAGCGGTTTATCTTTATCTACCCTGACAATTCCTCTGAGGGTATGGTGACGTTTTGCTGTGGTTTTGATACTGTGGCTGTGTGTTGGTGTATGGTCGTGGCGTTTTGTTAGGCCCTTCCGTGCTTCTTCCTGGGGCCTACCTTCTTTGGGTTCTTTGTTCCCATGATTTTTCTGGGTCCCTCATTTCTTTCTGGTCTTGCTGTTCTGGGCTTACCTTTTCCATGTTCATTGGATTCTCTGTACTTCCCTCGCTGTCCTCACCTAGTTGTGCTTGCTGGGGATGAGGTTTGGCTCTTCGTCTCGCCCCTCGCCTGTCGTTCAATTTCTGTACAGGTTCCAGAGCCTCCTGGGCTTCCCGGCAACCCTCCCTCCCTCTGGTCGGCGTTTTTTCACGTGTTTTGACATCCAGCCTCAGAACTGATGGATGGATAGCCGGCGTGAGAGGTCTGGGGCTCCCCCTTCCCCCTCCCGGGGAGGGGGAAGCTGCGCAGACAGCGGCGCGGTGACGTGTGACGTCATACTAGTTTGCTTGTTTTCTGTTGGGGAGTTTTGTCCACTAGTTTGGCTTTTGGTAGCAATTTTAACCAGAATAGGGGTTTGTTTTGGGACGCTTCCCTTTCTGGATGCTTGACCCCCGTTGATGGCAGACATAGAATGCTTCCAACCACCCGGGGGTTTCTATAGGCCATTGCTTCCCTTGCCTCTGAGGGGGCCAGGTTCTGGCCGTGGTCCCCCAGTAGGCCCTAAGAACTCCATACACATGACTGATGCCAAAGTCTGACGTTAGCATATCACCCTGGGATAGCTCCGGGGAGCCTCCGAGACTCACCCAGAAAATGGCGTTTCATTGCATTCAACTCTGATTTTTTTTTTTTTTTTTTTTTTTTTTTTTTTTTTACATCTTACATGCTTGTCCTTAATTTTTTTGTCGTTGAATTGAATATCTTGGGTAGGATATGGCATCGGAGTATTTTATAATACTCTTTCTTATTTTCAGATACGATGCTGCAACTGATGCTATCAGGAGAGAAATTTGCTATCATCAGGCAGGAGAAAATAATCGTAAGTATATCCTAAGCTATGAACTAATATATGTGACCAAGGAGGCCCTATGGAAACTACGAAAGACATTTATGTTGTAGATACTGTAATATATATTTTTTCTCAGTTGACTTTCACCCTCTCTACCTTATTTTCTAAGTGTTTGCATTTGGTTCCTTCTTAAGGTAGGGATCAGCTTTACCATTGGTTTTCTGTGGGGAGCTCCTACGGCTCCCTGGAGCTTATCGGGCTAATGTATGTTATATTAGTCAGCAGGCAGGGGGCCTCTCCATAGTTAAATAACTCGCTTTAGTCCAATGAAACAGTTTTTAATGTGTGGTGGCCTATTTTATATATACTGTACTGTATTTATATTAAAGGGGGTACCACCTCTGGTGCAATTATAGGGACCCACAGCCTCAGAGAAGGGAACACAGAGCATTCAGGGAAAAACTTGCCATTTAACTCTGAATACGTAAATGTGTTTGCTTCTCCTACCACCCCCCTTTTTTTATGGTGTCCACTTTATTATGCAAGGTTATGCAGTTACATATCTGATTTTATACAAAAAATTAACGTTAAGAGGACACAAAAAAAAGTTCGCTTCCTAGAGGCTGTAGATTTCCTCGAACTCCTCCGACGCCGGGCAGGAACTGAGGATGCAGCGAGCATTCCCCCTCTGGATCGCGACACTGAGAGGTTGATGTATGTGGTTGCCAGGGTGGATACACAAGTATAGTCCCATGCCAACTGTCTGCCACTCTTCCACGGTCGCAGTGTGATTCCGTCTGGTCGGCCGGCAAAGCTAACAGAGTCATGGTTCAGTAGGTTGCGGGGCTCTCTCTCCGCTGGACACTGAGCAGAGGCAAGGCTTCTTTTAATGATGTCATTGACTTCGTCGTGTCTAGTGTGCCAACCACCAGATTTTCCACAGTGTAGGCCATGCAGTCCATATTCGTCAGCATCTGCCTCGCCGCAAATACACCTATGAACAGTGTGGATAGGGGCAGCAAGACGGAGAGCGACTGCAATACGGAGCTCCAGCGGATCAAGACGTGTGCCTGTCGCAGACATAGGGACTGCCAAAAGGAAGTCCCCCTGCATGGGAAGCCTGCACAGCTGTGAGGCGAGCACGATCACTGGGGGTTGTTGCTGCCTCCAGCAAAGCTGTGACTTCTTTGTCTACAATGGGGCTGTCCCAACTGGATTGTTTCTTGGCTTTCGGCATGGCTGGTCTGAGTGCTAGGTCTGCCATGGCACCCCATTTCGTGTTGCATTCCGTGTAGTGGGGGTTCTGTATCCCCGCTACATCACTCAGGGTGTCAGGTAGAATTTCCTTAACCAGGTCATCTGATGCTGAGGAGGAAGACAGGAAGGCTGGGACAGCAATTTGGGTAGCGGTGCGGACACCCAAGCCACCGAGCCTGACAGGAAGAGTGGCTTGTTTCCACTGGCATTCGTTGAGGGAGAGGTTAACAATTTTTTCCAGCATGGTCTTCAGTAAGAGGTCATACTCTTCAAGCTTTTATATTAATGTCATTTATATGTGCTTAACGAATCTTTGTGAGTCCATTTATTTTTTGTCTTGTGCTTTAAGCTGAGTGCCAGTGTGCTGACTCTTAGTTTATTCCACATCATTCACAGGCATTGTTTATGGGACATAGATTATTTGCTGTTTATTAGGGTTCAAATGGTGTAATTTCATTAGATTCTGGTGTGTCTAGCCTTAACTATTGACCTAGCCTCTTTAGTGGCCGGTGCTCTGGGGAATGAATCGGCCCCGGGTCCCGAGGATGGGGATCTTGGGGCTGGGGAGGGGCTGACTTGGGGGCCCTTGGGCCTCGCTGGACCCCACCTGGGTTTTTCTACCTTCGGAGCGGGGCTTATTGTTACAAGGAGTGGGGTTCTCTTTTCCCCCTCTGTGTACGAGTTGGATTTGGTGTCTGCCCCTCCCTGGGTTCGGTTCCATGCTCCCTCGGGTGTGTCGGTTCCATCTTTCCTGAGATTTTCGGCTTCTCGCATCCAACCATCTCGGTGCAAGCAGCCCTGGCTTCTTACCTCCTGCATGACCCGGATTACGCCTCGGTGACGGATCCGTCGTCTTTCAGGTTTGGGAATTCGTTCTCTTTCTGGGTCTGTTATGAGGTTCTGGAGTCGTCCTGGTTGGCTGACTGTCCTATTTTTTGCTTTTGAGGCTTGGCATTCTTTCTGTCATTCCCGCACACTTGAGTAGCGCGAGGTCTTGACGGTGGTTCAGGATTTCCTGGGGGGGGGGGCGACCTTGAGCACCTCACTGAGTGCTTGTTTGCTCCTGCCCTTCCCCGGGATGTTGGCATTCAGCAGCTCCATGTGCAGGTTCCCTCCCCGTCGGCTGCGCAGGTGGCCGAGGACTTGCGTACTCGGGGCTGTTCCGGGGTCTGGTACCTTGGGCTCGGCAGCGAGCGCGTCGTCTACCTTGTTGAAGTTGTTTGCACCGATCTTGCGGGATGCGGTTTCCCTGTTCTACGCTTCCTGGCTTGCATGTCGGCAGGCGGTGCTTGCCTCCTCTTTGGAATTGACCTGGGCCTTGGCTCCAAGTATATCTTCTCCTTTTTGTCATCCTGCATGACTTCATGAATACTGTCTATGACAGGTGATTCTTACCTTAGGAAGGAACTGAATGCCTCTACTTGCAAAATAGTTTTTTTTATATTGTCTCAAAGCCATATTAAAAAAAAAGTTGATTAAAATTTAGAATACTGTATTTGACTTTCACAGTTACAGAACTTTAAATTGAACTTGGCTGCTTTTTATGAGATTATGCTATTAAACATTTTTGTGTAAATATCAAAATAAACATTCACTGATCGTTTGAGTCTTGATACTTGATTGTGAATGTCTGAAACCTAATTTTGATGCACAGATTGTATATTTAACACGTGGAGTAATATTGTGATTAAATATAAACATGACAAAGGTCGGCTTTTATACGTTTGATTTGATCTGTCTTAAATATTGATATTTTAACATTTCAGCTGCAATAGGAAGGCTGACTGTGGGACTTGTGCTGGTTCAACTGGCCCGTGGGGACTCTGTTGCTGCAGAGAAAGCCTTTAGAGAGTGGGGAACCTATTGTGAACAGGAGGAGGTAAGTGTCCTAGAACCATTGCTCCTTATTTATTTAAACCTCCTAGAGGGAATATGCTTTTACATGTTGATGTTTGCAGATGATGCAAGGTTAATGAGGAGAGTAAAAATTGAGAAGGACTGTAGGATGCTGCAAGATGACCTTGACAAACTTCAGGCGTGGGCAAATTAACGATTGCTGGAATTTAATCCAACTAAGTGTAAAGTAATGAAAATTAGTAAAGGAAATGGGAGACCTGTAAATTAATTACTGTATTCCAAAAGAGGAAGGCAATTATAAAAAATAGTAAGAGAAAAAGATGTGGGAGAAGTCATGATCCCAACATGAACACCAGAAGCTCATGTGAACAGGATATCAGCATCATATGGAAAGTTGCCAAACAAAGAACATCATTTAAGAATATAAAAAGGAGTGGTTTAAAGTCTATGCATACTACCTATGTGAAACTATTACTCAATTATACAGCACCAGCATGGAACCCAAACTTTGGAGGATGACTTGCCCCCGAGGCCTGATGTGGAGGGTCCCAGGGTTGGAGAGGAGCTGACTTAGGGGCTTTAGGCCCCATTGGACCCCCCCATGTGAAACACAAAAAAAACCTTGAGAAATGTTCAGAGGTTTCAGTAGATTAGAATCAGAATTGAGAGGACTTGGCTATGAAGACAGATTTAGGGAACTGCCCCCCACTTTAGATAAGAGAGAAAAAACAGAGGAGATATGATCACTAAATATACAATCTTGAGGGGAATAGACAAAATGAAGAAAGAAAGCATATTTAAATTAAAAGGAGGTCATCAGGGGATATCAGTGGGTGCAGCACACATAATTGAGTCGATGAGATGTAAGGAATTTCATCTCATCGACGTAAGGCAGGCTGTAAAGTATGGGTGGCAGGCAAGTGGAACACTGAATGCAGAAGTTGTTGAAGCCAATTTCCTCCACATATTTAAGAAAAAGTGTGAAGACATTTTTAATGTTGAGAGTGGTGATTAGTGTGTCAGGTATAAACAGCTTGGAAGCAGAGCATAGAGTTTCTGGGGGGAGCCCCTTCGGCTTCCCAGAGCTATCCAGGCTGATATGTATATCGTTAGACTTTGGCGTCAGTCGGTGTGAATGGAATTCTAGGCCTACCAGGGACCACGGCCAGAACCTGGCCCCTTTAGAGAGGCACGAGGAGCAATGGCCTATAAAAATGCACATGTGATTTTGGAGCATTCTATATCTGTCATTGACCGGGACAGGCACCCAGAAAGGTAAGCTCCTCAAAACAAACCTATTCTGGTTAAAACAACTAAAATAGACAAACCAGTGAACAGAACTCAAATGAAAACGAGCAAATGAGCATGACGTCACACGAGCCGTGCCACTTGTCTGTGCAGCTCCCCCCTCCCCGGGAAGGGGGGTGCCTCAGACCCCCACACCAGCGATCGACTCACCAGTTCTTTGGCTGATGTGATTGGGCATGGTTGTGTGGCTCCAGCTGTAGACTCTTTCTTTGTTGTGCTGTACCTTGGGTCAAGTACTGCTCTTACGGTGGCGTGCGAGCTGGGAGTAATATTCACAGGTACTCGGGCTGCATGTGCTTAGGGTTCCCTTCTGTGAGTGCCCTTGGGGCTTAGGGTTATCTTCCATAAGTCACCTTGGGGTCTACCTCTGTTGATCTTTTGCCCTTTGCTCGTGTGATTGACCACTTTACACTCAACCTATGGCCCCAGCCAGTGTGTTGGCGATTGGCCCTGAGTTTCTTTCCCTTGTTTGCCTTGGAGTAAGTGGTAGTTTTTGCACTGGTAGGGGCGCAGGCTAGTTTTCACCAATAACAGCGGCTGGGTCTGTTCCTCCTGGGTAAACTGTCCTCTTGCGAAGTTTTTCTTTTTGTTTTTGCTTGGTGGGGGATCTCTGCCTTTGTGTCTTTTCCCCAGTTATATTAGGGTTGACCTGTTTTCATTGGTACCTCCTGCTTGGCCCCCGTGAGTGTACACGTCCTGGGGGTTCAGCTTTGCAGTGTGTTTGGTAGCATTGGGCGCCGGTTAGCAGTACCCTACTTGGGCTTACCCTTTGCAATACCAGTCTTGGGGCCCTGGGAAACCCCGTGGGGGCACACGGAGTCCGATAGATGTGACCCCTGGGTCCCCTCTCGCCTTATGCGAGTTTGAGGCTTGCTCTATCCCCTTGTCTCAGGGCGACGCTCATAGTTTTTGCCTCCATCATGCTGCCTGTTGGGTCGGTGACATCTTCGACCTGGAGTCCTGCGAGCATTGTTGCTTGTTTGTGACTCAATTCAACCAATCTACTGGTGACATTATTCGGGTGCAGGAGGCTCGGGCATTGCAGACTAGGTTTAGGTTGCTGCAGCGTGCTAGGTTGGTTGCTTCCCCGGATGCCCCGAGGCTGCCCTGCTTTGCTTATAGGGACCCGGACTTGGGCGTGTTGGTCTCGTCGGCCTTGGTTCAGTCCGCACCCCCTCATTCTTCCCCTGCTGTGGTTCATTCTGTCCCCCTTCCCCTGCTTCCGGCTCCTAAGCGTCTGAGGGCTTCGGGGTCAGGGCAGGGTTTAGAGGTTTCCGAGACGTGGGCAGTTTCAGGGGTTACCCCTTCCAGGGTGGCGACGGAAGCATTCGAGTTGGTTCCTCCAGCCGTAGTACCGGGGTCTGACTAGTGGGCCTCCTCTCTTCCTGCTTTTCCGGCCGCCCCGGTTTTTTCTTGTGAGGCTGGGGCTTTGGAGGATGACTCGCCCCCAGGGCCTGATGTGGAGGATCCCAGGGTTGGGGAGGAGCTGACATGTGGGCCTTGGGCCCCGTTGGACCCCGCCTGGGTTTTCCGACCCTCAGAGTGGCGTTTAGCTTAACAAGGAATGGTATTTTTCCCTCTCTGCGTACGAGTTGGATTTGGGTTCTCCTCCCCGTTCGGTTTCGTATTCCTGGAGTCCTTTTCGGCTTCCAGAGGTTTTCGGCTTCTCGCCTACTGATGTGCGGGCGGCCATTGCGGCTTATCAAATGTGCGATCAAGAATATGCCTCTATAATGGATCCGTCTTCCTTCAGATTTGGATCTTCGTCTCCATACTGGGTTTGTTATGAGGTTCTGGAGTTGTCCTAGCTTGCAGACTGCCCATTGTTATTGTTGGATGCTTGGGGCGCTTTCTGTCATACCCACATGCTCGAGTGGCTCGAGGCGTTGACTGTGGTCCAGGTTTACCTGGGGAGCGCTTTTGAGTACCCGAATGAGTGTCTTTTCGCTCCTGCCCTTCTGCGGGATGTGGGGGCGATTCAGCTTCATGTGCTGGTTCCTTCCCTGTCGGCTGCGCTCGTGGCTTCCTGGCTTCGGTCTTGCTTTTCTCTTCCCTCCTGGAGCTGTCTTCGGATTGGCTTGCAGAGGATGTAGAGGCACTTGGGGCCATTCCTGGGTCTGGTGCCTTGGTCTTGGCTGCTTGTGTGTCATCTGCGCCTGTGCTGCAGGATGCGTGTGTTTTTCGCTGCGCGTCTCACGTGTCGATGGGTTGTGCTCACTTCCTCCTTGGAATTCGCTTCGGCCCTGGCTCTTAGGTTGTCTTTGCCCTTTTGTCCCTTGCTGTTTGCGGACTTTACGGTCGAGCAATATATGTAGGTGGCTTCTTTCAGCTGTTGTCCGATGTTCGACTTGTTGATTCTCCGGGTTTCCCAGGTGGGTTCTTCCCGGAGGGGTCATGCCAAGGCTCGAGGTACTGCTCATCGGGGTACGCCACAGGTGCCAGTTTCGAAGCTGGCGCCGCCTTTGGAACCGTCTGCATCTGGTTGGCGCGATGTTCGCTCTGTGCGCAGGTTGGGTTCTTGTAAGGGGCGTCGGCCCTTTCGTGGTTCGCCCCATTAACGAGGCGATGGAGGGAAGGCTTGCTCTGTTCGTTCACACCTAGTCTCACGATTCGTGGGCTTTTCGGGTCGTTTCTCACAGCCTGCAGTGGTGTTGGGTGGCTCCTCCTCCTTCAGGAGGTTTGGGGCTGGCGGGGCAGGCCTCTTCTCGGAGTGGGTACACTTGGGCGTGATCGAATCGACGGCGTCTCTCAGGTGGGTTTCCCGCCTGTTTCCAGTTCCTAAACATGACTGTGCTGATCTGTGGATCATTCTGAACTTGTCCCGTCTCAACCCTTGAGTCTTTTGCCCCTCCTTTCGGATGACCACTCTGTCCCAGGCTTGGTTCCTGTTGGAGCCAGGCGCTTGGATGGTGTCCCTGGACCTCAAGGACACTTATTGGCACGTCCTGGTTCATCTGGGGTTCAGGGACTGACTCGGTTTTGTTGTAGGGCGTCAGTGTTACCACTTTCATTGTCCCCCTTTCGGGTTGAACCTGGCGTGTTCACACCCCTTACCAGGATCGTGGTGGCCCGTCTGCGTCTGTTAGGTGTTCGGGTGTTGGCTTACCTCGACGACTGGCTGGTCTGGGCTCCCAGTCGGTCCGCGTTTCTTCTCGCCAAGGGTTTGGTGCTGTCCCAGCTAGCTGGGTTCGGGTTCCTGGTGAACTGGAGGAAGTCCCATCTGGTTACCTCCCAGGTTCGGATCTGGCTAGGTCTTGTTTGGGACTCTCGGACCGCTTCCTTGTCTCTCCCTCTGGAGTCTCTCCTTCGGCTGTCATCCCGCATGTGCTGTTTCTGGGGGCTCTCGGGTCACCCAGCGGTTGCTCGAGGGTTTGTGTGGGAGCCGCTGCAGCTTGTTTTTGGTATTGGTGTTACTTCGGCACCATTTCGCAAGCTGTCTCGAGTGTTGTTTCACCTCTGGCCTGCTCATGCGCTGCTTGAGAGCAGGTCGGTCTTTGGACTTTGGACAGAGTGCTCTCGTATCTGTCTTCGCCTCGGTTTGTTGTGGCCCTTTCGGTTCCGGATTGTTTTTCAAAGCTATTTTCTTATTGGCATTGGACTCTGGAAGTCAGGTTGGGGAGCTTCCTGCTCTCCTCCGGCGCAGGGGTTTTTGCTCTTTTGATCGTGGTGATAGTTTGCTCGTTTGCAGCCGTCTCCTTTTTTTGGCGAAGAATGAGACTGCTGCTTTCCGGAGGGGTCCTTGGGTTGTTTATGCTTGGTTGGTCAGGCCAGGGGTTCATCATGTGTTGTGTCAGGTTGCGGCTCTCCGCCGTTATTTGCGCGCCACGGCCTCTTTGGCCGAGGATGTGCTTTGGGTTGATCTGTTTTCCCTTCTTCCCTGTTTGCGGGTTCAGGTCTCTCAGGTCGTCCGCAGGGTTATTCGATCTAGCCAGCTTGCGGTCTATCCCCATGCCCATGACATTTGTAAGTTTGCTGCGCTTGCTGTAATCTTTGGTAACATGGCCTGGTCTGATATTCGGGGGCGGAGTCTTTGGCAGTCGAACAGGGTCCTGGCTGCACGCTACCTCGTTAATGTTCCTGGGCCTAGTCGGGCCTGTGTCGCTTTGGGTCGGTGGTTGCAGCCTGTTGTCTCGACTTCGAGTTGAGATGCGAGCACCGATCGCCTCCTAGGTAAGTCCCTCTAGTTTTGTCTTTGGTAAAGTAGCTCCAGGGAGCCGAAGGGGCTCTACCCAGAAAACCAGGGTTGAAGGTAATGAAACGCCATTTTCTGGGTGAGACCCGGAGGCTCCCCGACTACCCTCCCTCCCTCCGGTCGGTGTTTTTTCGTGTGTTTTTGACATCCAGCCACAGAACTGGTGGGTGGATTGCTAGCGTGGGGGTCTGGGGCTCCGACTTCCCCCTCCCGGGGATGGTGGGAGCTGCGCAGATATGTGGCGCAGATCGTGTTAAATCATGCTCGTTTGCTCGTTTTCATTTGGGGAGTTCTGTCCACTAGTTTGTCTATTTTAGTCACTTTAACCAGAATAGGGGTGTGTTTTGAGGTGTTTACCTTTCTGGGTGCCTGTCCTGGTCTATGGCAGATATAGAATGCTCCAAATCACATGTGAATTTGTATAGGCCATTGCTCCTCGAGCCTCTCTGAGGGGGCCAGGTTCTGGCTATGGTCCCCAGTAGGGTTAGAACTCCATCCACACTGATGCCAAAGTCTAACGATATACATGTCAACCTGGATAGCTCCGGGAAGCCTCCGGGATTCACCCAGAAAATAGCGTTTCATTACATTCAACGCTGGTTTTTTTAATTTCAAGTACAGTAACTGTCAACATTAAAAAAATAGTTATAAGGAAATAATGAATATCCTAAATCCTAATAGGTTTCCTTGAAAATGGTTGATGTAATAGTTTTGTTATCTGCAGGTGCAGACACTAGAAATGCTGATCCAGGCCTTTGATGAAGAAGATGGAGATATGGCATTGAAAGCTCTGAACTCCTCCTTCATCAAGCACATGGATGTGGAGTATGCCAAGCTTGCTAGAAGTCTTCCTGTACCTAAGTGTAGCCAGGTAGGAAAAGCTTCAGATTAAGCTGGGAAACATGTAGAAAATTAGTAGACAGTAAAAGTGAAGAATGAAAAAGTGTAATGTAACAGATATAAATGATGATTCCCTCTTGTGAAGACCATTTAGGTAGTTACTGTTGGGTATTAGGGGAAGAGAGAATTGTTTGAGTTTGGTTAGTTATTCTTTGAAAGAGAGGCTTAAAGAAATGTGAAAATGTGGATGCCCATTTTGATGTGGTAAAGTATTTTGAGTGTTGTCTGGATAAATTTCATCTATAATAATTTTCAAAATGTTAAAAAGAAATACAATGCTGCATGTAGACCTTCATCCTGGTTGATTAACTTCATGCAAAAAAATACTTTGACTTGTGGTTAAGCTGTCTAGAAAATGTTTCATGGTTGGAATGAAAAGATTGGATGATTTACACAAGAATAACATTACAAGCAGTAGAATATATTTTCCTAGAGCTAAATATAGGTTAATGATCACATGTCAGCAGACAGTGTTATTTATATCTGTGTAAGAAGTAAGTGCATCAGTACAGAAGGTAGCTCAGGTGTGGGAAAGCTGCAAGTATGAGCTTTCTGCACATAAAGTATGATGAGATACTGCATGTACAGAATTTATTACATAAAATGTATAGTGAAGAAAATAATTGAGATGTAGAAAACTTACCAGACAGTATGATGAGGTACTGTGTTAGATGATTGAAAAAAAAAGAGCTGTGATTGTATTGTTGCATGATAATTAATGGGAATGTATTGAGTGTCAAAATTATAGTTGTTAGTCTACTAACTGTAGTAGGCAAAGTGTATATTAGGATAGTGACTGGAAGAATAAGCTAGAGCAAGTAACTTGAGGTATTGATCTGTGATGGTGCAAGGTAGGTTTAACGTGGGGAAAAGGTTGTGTGGAGTTGATATTTATATTGAGTCAGCTTGAATATACTTGCTTAGTGGTGCTTACAGGGACTGAGCTTCAAGTTTTGGATCCCACCTCACAACCTTGTATCGACTTGTGTGAATGAGATTATTAGGTGGTCATGGGATTTATGGACTTGGAGAAGGCATATGGTAAAGTTAATAAAGGATGACTCTGGAAAGAGATAAACACATTTGGAGTTGATCAAACTATTAAATACTCTCTAAGAGCCTCTATGTAGAAAGTGGAACATGTAATTGCCTAAGTGTAGTTACAGGATGAGTTACAGGTTACCCATGGTTGTGGTATCCCATCTTTCCATTACTCTTTGTTATATGATGCTTTGAGACTCCTGACGGTTTAGCTGTCCACCGCTTTCTCACTAAATATGTTCCAACCGTCTACCGTTCTGTTTGCTAAGGGGAATTTTCTAATATTTTTTGGCACTTTCATTTCCTTTTCTATGACCTCTTGCTATTGAAGTTTCAAGTTTCAAGAATTCCTCTTATCATTTTCTGTTATTATTTTGTGCGTTGTGATCATATTGCCTTTTTTCTTTTCCTACTGTCTTCTTGCTTTGGTGTATTTAACACCTCTAGCCTATTCTCATAGCTCTATTTTTCCAGTTACAGAAGTCATTTAGTGACATGTCTTGTTACATTTTCCAGTTTATTGGTGGTGTTCTTGAGATATGGGATAAAAATAAGATCTTTGACTTATGCAAAAAAGTGAGTGTTATGTAGCAATGCAGAAAAAAACACTAATTAGAGCTGAAGTTAGATGTATTTAGGAGTGGTGGAGGCAAACATGTGACAAAAGAAAGACACTAGTTCCAGGATGGTTGATCCAAAATAAGACGAAGCTTTATCATCAGGAAATGAACATTCATGTTTTAGTGATAACTGACTAAGAATCATCAGGATTAATCATTATTGAATATGTGAAAATTAATTTAAAATTACTGAATGCGTGAAAATACATTGAGAAAAGCAAAATACTGTTCAGCAAAATGCTGAAGATGCAGACGATTACAAGTAAATACTGTACAGTGCTGTATGAATACTGTATTAGTAAAGGTTTTCTTGGGGGAGCCCCTTCAGCTCCCTGGAGCTTACTAGGCTGATATGCTAATGTCAGACTTTGGCATCAGTCATGTGTATGGAGTTCTATGGGCCTACCGGGGACCACGAGCCAGAACCTGGCCCCCTCAGAAGAGGCAAGGGAAGCAATGGCCTATAGAAACCCCCGTGTGGTTGGAAGCATTCTATGTCTGCCATCGACCGGGTCAGGCACCCAGAAAGGTAAGCATCCCAAAACAAACCCCTATTCTGGTGAAAATATTGCTACCAAAAGCCGAACAAATGGATAGAACTCTCCTAAACGAAACGAGCAAACGATCATGACGTCACACGATGCCGCACCGTTGTCTGCGCAGCTCCCCGCTCCTCAGGAGGGGGAAGGGGGGGACCCCAGCCCCTACATGCCGGCCATCCACCCTTAGTTATCAAGCTGATGCTAAAAGCAGTGGTCGTGTGCTTGGCTCCAGAGTTTTTCAGCGCTGTACTTAGTGTGTGGTGGCTGTCTTCCAAGGGTGCGAGAGCCAGGAGTTATTCTACAGTACTCAAGCTGCATGCGCCTAGGGTTATCGTTCCTAGGTGCACTTTAAGTACTGCCCTTGGAGCTTGGGGCCACCTTCCATAAGTTCCTCGGGGGCCTGCCTCTACTAGGCCGTCTGACTGCTCGGTTTTTCGGCTGCCCTTTGGGTGCTTGGGGGTTTTGTCTTCCTTGTTTACCTTAGGGTAAGAGGCAGTTTGCACTGGTGGGGCGCAGGGTGCTGCGCAGCTTGTTGTCACCATTCACGGCGGCCGGCTCTGTTCCTTGGGGTGCGTTGTCCTCTTGCGGGGTTTTGTTTTTCTTTTTGTTTAGTGCCTTGTGGGGGGGGGGGGGGGTCTGCCTTGCTTTGCCCTCATTGGGCCTGACCTGTGCACTATTAATTCGGTGGTGCCCCCTGCTAGGTCCCCGTGAGTGTACACGTCCCTGGGGTTCAGCTTTTAGAAAGTTGTTTGGTAGTTTTGGGCGCTGGTTAGCAGTACCCTGCCTTGGCTTACCTGGGCGCGAGTCCTCTTATAGTAAGCGCTCAGGACCCTGGGAATCCCCTAGGGGGCACGTGGGTCCGATGGATGTGTCCCCGGAGCCCCCCTCGCTTCATGCGAGTTTGAGGGTTGCTTGGTCCCCTTGACTCAGGGTGACCCTCACGGTTTTTGCCTCCGTCACGCTGCCTGTTGGGTCGGTGACACTTTCGACCCTGAGTCCTGTGAGTACTGCTGCTTGCTGGTGACTCAATTTACCCAGTCCAATGATGATCTTATGCGGGTACAGGCGGCGCAGGTGTTGCATGCGCGTTTTAGGTTGTTGCAACGCGCTAGGTTGGTTGCTCACCCGGATGCCTTGAGGCTGCCCCGTTTTGCTTATAGGGACTTGGACTTGGGGGTTGGGGTCGCTTCGACCTTGGTTCAGTCCGCGCCCCCTCGTCCTTTCCCTTCTGTGGTTCGTTCTGGTCCCCCCCCCCCCCCCTGCTTCCAGCTCCGAAACGTCTGAGGGTTTCGGAGTCAGGGCAGGGTTTAGATGATCTTGAGTCTTGGTCAGTCTCGGGGGATGCCCCTTCCGGTGTGGTGACGGAGGCCTTCGAGTCTGACCCCCCTGCTGAAGCCTCTGGGTTTGACCAGTGAGCTCCCTTCTGTTCGGCTTACTCGGCCGCACTGGCCTTTTTTTTAGGGGCCGGTGCTCTGGGGGATGACTCGGCCTCGGGTCCCGAGGTTGGGGATCCTGAGGCTGATGAGGGGCTGACTTGGGGGCCTTGGGCCCCGCTAGACCCCGCCTGGGTTTTCTACCCTCAGAGCAGGGCTTATTGTTACAAGGTGTGGGATTCTCTTTTCCCCCCCTCCTCATACGACTTGGATTTGGTGTCTGCCCCTCCCTGTGTTCGGTTCCATGTCCCCTCGGGTGCGTCGGTTGTGTCTTTCCGGAGGTTTTCGGCTTCCCGCATCCAACTGGCTGCGGTGCGGGAGGCAACTGCGGCTTACCTCCTGCGTGACCCGGATTATGCCTCGGTGTTGGATCCGTCATCTTTCAGGTTTCGAACTTCGTTCTCTTTCTGGGTCCGTTACGAGGTTCCGGAGTTGTGCTGGCTGCCGGACTGTCCTGTCTTTGTTTTGGAGGCCTGGCATTCCTTCTGTCATTCCCGCATGCTTGAGTGTAGCGAGGTTTCTCCTGTGATTCAGGTTTTCCTAGGTGGGGTGGCGACCTTAGCACCTCAATGAATGCTTGTTTGCTCCTGCCCTTTCCCGGGATGTTGGTGTTCTGCAGCGCCATGTGCAGGTTCCCTCCATTTCGGCTGCGCAGGTGGCCGAGGATTTGCGCGCCAGGGGCCTCTTGGCTTCGGCCTTGCGCTTCTTTTTCCTCCTGGAGCTGTCTTCGGACTGGCTTGGGGAGGACGTGGGGGCGCTCTGGGCCGTTCTGGGGTCTCGTGCCTTGGGCTCGGCTGCTTGTGCGTCGGCTGCCTTGTTGAAGCTGTTTGCGCTGATCTTGAGGGATGTGGTTGCCCAGTTTTACACTTCCCGGCTCGCGTATCAACAGGCGGTGCTTGCCTCCTCTCTGGAATCGGCCTGGGTCCCTGGCTCTTAGGTTGTCTTCTCCCTTTTATCTGCTCCTTTTTGCTTCGGCGGCCGTGGTGCAGTATATTCAGCCTGCTTCGGCCAGTTGCCATCCGATGTCGGACTTGTTGGTTCTCCGGGGGTCCTGGGGGGATCCTTCCCGGAGGGGTCGTGCCAGGGCTCGGGGTTCCTCTCGTCGTGGTAGGCCACTGGTGCCAGGTTCGGGCTTGACTCCGCCTTCGGACCCGCCTTCGGCTGGTTGGCGCCGTGTTCGCCCTGTTCGGGGTTCTGGGTCTCGTAAGGGGCGCCGGCCCTTTCGCGGTTCGCCCCATTGACGGGGCGATGGGTGGGGAAAGCTTGTGCTGTTTGCTCACACCAGGCCCCATGATTTGCGGGCGTTTCGGGTCGTTTCCTTCGGCCTGCAGTGGCGTTGGGTGGCCCCTCCTCCTTCGGGGGGTTCGGGGCTGACGGGGCAGGCTTCTTCTCCTGCGCTCCGTCAAGTCGTCTTGGAGTGGGTTCGCTTGGGCGTCGTCAAAACGACGTCGTCCCTCAGATGGGTTTCCCGTCTGTTTCCAGTGCCGAAACAGGACTGTGCAGACCTGCAGTTCATTCTGGACTTGTCCCGTCTGAACCCCTGGGTTCATTGCCCCTCCTTTCGGATGACTACGCTGTGTCAAGTTCGGCTCCTGTTGGAGCCGGGTTTTTGGATGGTGTCCCTGGATCTCCTGGACGCTTATTGGCACACCCTGATTCATCCAGGGTTCAGGGACTGACTCGGGTTTGTTGTGGTGCGTCAAGGTTACTGCTTTCATTGTCTCCCATTCGGGTTGAACCTGGCACCTCGCGTGTTCACACGCCTTACGTGGGTTGTTGTGGCCCGTCTGCGTTTTTTAGGTGTTCGGGTGTTGGCCTACCCCGACGACTGGCTGGTTTGGGCTCCCCAGCCAGTCCAGTTATCTGCTAGCCAGGGATTTGGTTCTTTCCCAGCTCATTGGTTCGAGTTCTTGGTGAACTGGAGGAAGTCCCATCTGATGCCCTCCCAGGTTCAGTCGTGGCTGGGTCTTGTGTGGGACTCTTGGACCGCTTCCTTGTCTCTTCCTCCGGAGTCTCTCCTTTGGCTGCGGTCCTGCTTGCATCTGTTTCTGGGGGCTCCCGGATCACCCGGCGGTTGCTCAATGGTTTGCGCGGGAGCCAGAACTTCGCGATGTTGGTCTACCCGCCGGGTTGGGTTTGGCTTCGTCGGCCGTTCTGATTCCTTTGGGGACGTCCTTTCCGCCTCTCTCGCGATCTCAGGGTTCGACATCCGGGGGCTTTGTGTCGGCTACTGCGTCGCCAGCTTCCTTGGTGTTTTTCAGGGTTCAGTGCCTTGGCACCTGCCCGAGCCCTCGCTCGATGTGTTCACGGATGTGTTGTCTCTCGGCTGGGGCATTGTGACCAGTGCTCACCAGGCCGGCCAGGGGGCGGTGGGATCCATCCTTCCGTGAATCCCACAGCACGGTGTGGGAGTTCACAGTGGTGTGGTTTGCAATTTGGAGGATTCGGGTTGCCCGCGGATTGACGATCCGGCTCCATTCGGACTGCTCCCCGGTGGTTTATTGCCTGTATTGAGGGGGTTCGATGCGGTCCCTGGCTCTTTGGTGCTGGTCGCCTTGGGTGACTCGTCTGCTGATTTCTCGGGGTTTGGCTCTCCTGGCAGTTCACGTGCGGGGAGTGTCCAACGTCTTGGCCGACGGCCTGTCCCGTTTCATTCCCCTCTCCATGGAATGGACGGTCAACGCCGACTCCTTCCGTTGGCTCTGCCGGACGTTCGGGCGCCCCGAGGTGGACCTCTTCGCGTCGGCGTGGTCGCGGCGCCTTCCCCAGTACGTGGCGCCCTTCCCCGATTGCGAGGCCGTCGGGGTAGATGCCTTTCGGCAGGACTGGTCGAGGTGGGGGTTCCTATACCTCTTTCCCCCGGTTCAGCTGTTGCTCCAGGTCCTGACTTGCTTGGAGACCTACCAGGGGAGAGTTGTCCTCTTGGCCCCGTGGTGGCCGGCCCAGCCGTGGTTTCAGGTGCTGCTTGCTCGGTGTCCGAACCCGGAGGTTTTCCCGCGGCTCCGCCTTTTCCAGCAGATCGGACCGGAACGTCACGTGGCTGGTTCGATCTTCTCCTCGAGTCTTCGCGTATGGTATTTTTGACTCGAGTTTATCATCATCTCTATGGTGATCAGGTGGCTTCCTTGTTAGTGTCCCACCTGCGGGTTTCGTCTCGGCGGCAGTACGAAGTTTCCTGGCGGTCCTTCCGTTTCTTCCTGCGTCTTCGTCGTTGTACTTCGCTTTCTGTTAGGGTGGTGTTGTCCTTTCTCTCTTGGTTGTTCCAGGACCGTCACCTTATGCCTAACACTGTCACCTCATATCGTGCGGCGCTGGCGGAGCCGCTTCAGCTTGCTTTCGGTATTGATGTTACTTCTGCACCGTTTCGCAAGCTGTCTCGGGCGTTGTTTCACCTCCGGCCTGCTCATGCGCCGCCTGAGCCTTCCTGGTCATTGGACAGAGTGCTCTCTTATCTTTCTTCTCCTCGGTTTGTTGTGGCCCCTTCGGTTCAGGATTGTTTCTCCAAGGCTCTTTTTCTGTTGGCATTGGCCTCTGGGGGTCGGGTTGGTGAGCTTAATGCTCTCCTCCAGCACAGGGGGTTTCTGCTCTTCTGGTCTTCGTGATGGTTTTGTTCATTTGCAGCCGTCTTTTTTTTTCTGGCGAAGAATGAGACTGCTGCGTTCTTCAGAGGTCCCTGGGTTGTGGATGCTTGGTTGGTTAGGCCGGGGTGCATCATGTTTTGTGTCTGGTTGCGGCTCTTCGCCGTTATTTGCGCACCACGGCTTCTGTGTCCGGGGACGCGCTGTGGGTTGATCTGGTTTCCCTTCTTCCCTGTTCGTGGGTGCGGGTCTCCCAGGTCATCTGCAGAGTTATTAAGGCTAGCCAGCCTGCGGTCTATCCCCGTGCCCATGACGTTCGTAAGTTCGCTGCTCTTGCTGCCGTCTTTGGCAACATGTCATGGGCTGACATTCGGGCGCGGGGCTTTTGGCGGTCGAACAGGGTCCTGGCTGCTCGTTACCTTGTGAACATCCCTGGGCCTAGTCGGGCCTGTGTCGCTTTGGGTCGGCGGTTGCAGCCAGTTGTCTCGACTTCGAGTTGAGGAGTGAGCAGCGACCGCCTCCCGGGTAAGTCCCTAAGTTTTTTCCTCTGTGGGTAGTTAGCTCCGGGGAGTCGAAGGGGCTCCCCCCAGAAAACCAGCGTTGAATGTAATGAAACGCCATTTTCTGGGTGAGACCCGGAGGCTCCCCGGCATCCCTCCCTCCCTCCGGTCAGCGTTTTTTCACGTGTTTTTGACATCCAGCCTAAGAACTAAGAGTGGATAGCCGGCGTGAGGGGTCTGGGGCTCCCCCTTTCCCCTCCTGAGGAGGGAGGGAGCTGCACAGACAGCGGCTACGTGTGACGTCATGATCGTTTGCTCGTTTCTTTTAGGGGAGTTCTATCCACTTGTTCGGCTTTTGGTAGCAATATTTTCACCAGAATAGGGGTTTGTTTTGGGATGCTTACCTTTCTGGGTGCCTGACCTGGTCGATGGCAGACATAGAATGCTTCCAACCACACGGGGGTTTCTATAGGCCATTGCTCCCCTTGCCTCTTCTGAGGGGGCCAGGTTCTGGCTCGTGGTCCCCGGTAGGCCCATAGAACTCCATACACATGACTGATGCCAAAGTCTGACATTAGCATATCAGCCTAGTAAGCTCCGGGGAGCCTCCGGGTCTCACCCAGAAAATGGCGTTTCATTACATTCAACACTGGTTTTTGTTGATAAAATGTATGGTTACTTTTTTCATTAATGTTTTCTTGTATTGATTTTAAAGTCTGATCATTCTCCTCAGGAAACCAAGAAGCCAGGCGTGACAGACACGTACCCACCATACACCTCCAGCTCTGCTGATGTTGACTCGGTGACTGCGGGGATGGGCAATGCTTCAATATCCCAGGTGCGTACAAGAACATTCAGGAAGGTTTCGAGTTGCAGTTGAATGTTGGTAGGTTAGTTAAATTTACTGATCTCTCACAAACACTAAAATTACTTGTTCTGTTGGGGTGTGAGAGGGGAAGGGCCACATGAGCACGAGCTCCGTGAAAAATAATATATATATCTTGGGGTATTTCAGTGATACAGGAACTAAACACAATCAGATATCTCATAAAGTGCATCTCAACATATTAAACAATATACCATAGTGACTGCCATCCGACTTTTATGTTTTAAGGAAATAATGAGTTTCGAGTGTAGTCAAGTCCACCGGCCTGCCTGCCCTCGTGGTGCCAGGAGTCCAGAGGCAAAAGTTGCCAAGACGTTTAAAAAAAAAAAATCGCATTCCCTCCTTATTGCAACATCAAGAAATCATAGTTATCCACAGTGCTAAACCTCTCATGTAAACAATTATGTCAATTGTAAAAATAAAGATAGCATACCTTAATATCAAGTGAACAAATTATACACAAAATAAGTCCGCTGTGTATAAATGTTGGCCGTCCCGAGAGTAGGCCCAAGTCCCGTTACCTCTGTGTGTGTGTGTGGTTACTAGTAATGTATTTCCAACAAGTGTAATAGGGGGAATGTGGATCTAGGAATTAGTAATAGAGAAAGTGAATACCATTGCAAACCGGAAATTAAGCAGAAAATGCCTTATGGTAACACTGGCAAATTAATATATCAGTGTTATAACTCGAGTAACTGGCAGCAGGTGGCATCCAGCCCGCAACCTGGGAAACACTGTCAGCTGTACTTCCCACTGGGACCATCACCCTCCACCAAGTGATAAGTACCTGCCATAAAGTAGAACAAATAAACATATATAATGTTATATATATATATATATATATATACTGTATACATATATTATTATATATAACTTTTCCACTTCCTCAAGTATTTGTGGTTTTTGTTTCGTGATTGTTCATACTCCTTTTGCCACTTTGGCACTCATAATGCCCTTTTTCTTGGCAAGTATAGTGCATATCGTTGACGTGAATTTGTTGTACTGCCTACAAAGTTCAACACACGTGCACCATTTTCATGCTTCCGAATTATCTCTTGCTTTTCCTCTATTGTCATGCAATTTCACATGCGATTTCTTGCCTTGAACCTTACCACTGGCTTTCTTGGGACTCATTGCGATGTATATTATAACAAATTTTATGCTCAAATAGCAAAAACTCCAAAAATAAACGGTAAAGCTTTGTGAAGAATTCAGGCGGGATAGTCACTGGGTGCAAGGCACTGGCAAACTGAGCGGCGATCACCGTGCCACCACGCGCTAGGTCGGCCCGTACGCTTACCAACAAATTCGTATCCTGAGGCAACCCTCGTAACCCGATACAAATTTTCCAAGCAAATTCTGCTCGTAACCCGAAAAACTTTTAACCAGGAGCGCTCGTAAGCCGAGGTACCGCTGTACTGGAGTAAACGATATGGAAGAAAATGCAGAATAGAACCAATAAAGAGCAGGGGGGTGCCAGAGGCACAATCAGAGAACACTGTATAAACATCAGAGGTCCATGGTAGTTCAACATCCTTCCAGTGAGAATAAGAAATATTACCGGAACAACTTTGGACGTCTTCAAGAGAAAACTGGATAGTTTTCTTCAAGGAGTGCTGAACCAACCGGGCTGTGGTGGGTATGTGGGCCTGTGGGCCGCTCCAAGCAACAGCCTGGTGGACCAAACTCTCACAAGTCAAGCCTAACCTCAGGCCGTGCTTGGGGAGTAGAAGAACTCCCAGAACCCCATCAAGTAGGTACTCTATGGTACACAAGCTTTGTTTCTTTATATCACAGACAGATATCATGCCTATACTGTACAGTACTAAAATCCTATTCAACACTCACAGCAAAGTGGTCATTTTCAGGAAGTTCAATCGCTTGTAGCTTATTTCTGTGGAGAGCCCTTTCGGCTCTTTGGACCTATAGGACTGATATATGCTATATTAGTCTAGGGGCTTCAGTCAATGGAGTTTTTCCTACCGGGAAGCACGAGCCAGAACCTGGCCCCCTTAGAGAGGTGCAGAGAGTAATGGCCAAGGAAAACATCCTTGTATTTGGGGGATGCTGTCTGCTATCGACCGGGGTTAGGCACCCAGAAAGGTTGGCATCTCAAAACAAACTCCACATGGTAGGAAATTAAAAAAAAAAAAAAAAAAAAAAAAAAAAAAAACGAACAGGGAAATAGAACTCCCCAAAAGAAAACAAGAAAAACTAGCAAACGTTAACCACTGCAACCGCACAGCAACGGCTGGGCATCCGGCACGGGGGTCCGCCTCCACCCCCCCCAGGAGGTGGAGGGGGTGCCCAGGACTCCCGTGCCAGCTGCCAAGTTCCTCAGTTCGTAGGCTAAAGCTCTCTGGGGCGCTTGTTAACTCTGGCCTCCGTTTCGTGCAGGATTTTGTGCCCTTGTGGTGTTTCTTGCTGTTTGTGTTGTGTTGGCCAGGACTAACGTACTGTACTGGGATTGCATGCACTTAGGGCTGCATGCCCTAAGCATCCTGTAAGTACTACCCTTGGGTTCTAGGGTTGCCTTCACTAGAGTTTTCGGGCCTTCACTCCATAGGGGTTCCTGCTGCTGGGCATTTGCCCTGCCCTTGGGGCCAGCTGGGGTTTTGTGACCATTCTTTGGCCCTGGGTAGGAAGGTTCCGGTGGTTCCTTGTCTGAACCACAGGGTTCTCTTCGGTCCTTGGCTCTTTGGGGCTGGTCGCTTCGGGTGACTCGTCTGCTGGATTCGTGGGGTTTAGCTCTCTGTGCGATTCACATCCGGGGAGTGTCCAATGTCCTAGAGGACGGCCTGTCTCGGTTCAATTCCCTGTCCATGGCATGGACGGTCTACACCGACTCCTTCAGTTGGCTCTGCTGGATATACGGGCCCCCGGCGGGTGAACTTCTTTGGGTCACAGTGGATGCTCTTTGGCAGGACTGGTCGAGGTGGGGTTCCTTCTACCTCTTCCGCCTGGTTCAGCTGATGCTTCAGGTTCTGGTTTGGATGGAGTCTTCCCATGGGAGACTTGTCCCTGTGGTGGCCAGCCTAGCCTTGGTTTCAGGCGCTGCTTGCTCGGTGTCCGAACCCAGGACGTTTTCTGCGGCTCCACCTTTTCCAGCAGCTTGGGCCAGTTCGATACAGTGGCTGGTTCGATCTACTCCTCTGCTCTTCGCGTCTCGTTTTTTTGCTTCAGGTTTATCACCTCTTGTTTGGTGATCAGGTGGCTTCATTAAAAGTGTCCCACATGCGGCCTTCGTCTTGGCAATATTATGTGTGTGTCTTCTTTTCAACTTTTCCTCTCTCTTCATAGGTTGTCTTCTATTTCTGTTCGGGTTGTCTTGTCCTTTCTTTCTTTGCTCTTTCAGGACTGTTATCTTATGCCTCATGCTGTCGCCTCTTATTGTGCAGCACTGGTGAAGCCGCTCCAGCTTATGTTCAGGGTGGATATCCCTTCCACCCCATTCCGTAAGCTTTCTCATGCTTTGTTTCGCCTCTGGCCTGTTTATGCGCCACTTGAGCTGCTTAGGTCCTTGAACCGGGTGCTCTTTTCTTTCTTCTCATCGGTTTGTGGTGGGCCCTTTGGTTCATGTTTCCTTTTGGAAGGCTTTGTTTCTGTTGGCTTTGGCATCAGGGGGCAGGGTCGGTGTGCTTCCTGCTCTCGTCTGGCGCAGAGGTCTTTGCTCTTATGGTCCTGGTGGATGTTTTGTTCGGTTGCAGCCGTCTCCTTCTTTTCTGACGAAGAACGTGCCGGTGGGCTTCCAGAAGGGCCCTTGGGGTTTTTATGCTTGGTTGGTCAGGCCAGGGGTGCATAATGTGTTGTGTCTAGTTGCAGCTCTGCTGCATTACCTGCATGCCTCGGCTTCTGTGGCCGTGAACACGCTATGGGTTGATCTGACTTCCCTTGTTCCCTGTTCCAGGGCTCAGGTCTCTCAGGTCGTCCACAGGGTTATTAGGTCTAGCCAGTTTGCGGTCTACCCTCGTGCCCATGATGTTCGTACGAATGCTGCTCTTGCTCTTGTGTTTGGGAACATCTTGGGCTGACATTTGGACACAGGGGTTTTGGAGGTCAAACAGGATCCTGGCTGCTGGTTCTTTGGTGAATGTTCCTGGTTCCAGTCATTCCTGTGTTGCCTTAGGTCGCCGGTTACAACCAGTTGTCTCATCTTCGTGTTAAGGCACGTGGTGCGGCTGCCTCCCGGGTACGTCCCTATTTTATTTATCTTTGGGTATGTAGCTCCAGGGAGCCGAAGGGGCTTCCCACAGAAAACTAGCGTTGAATATAATGAAATACCATTTTCTGGGTGAGCCCCGGAGGCTTTCTGGCTCCCATCCTCCCTCCCTCTAGTTGGTGGTTTCGTTTTGATGCTCAGCCTCCGAACTGAGGAACTGAACAGCCGGCACGGGGGTCCGGGGCTCCCCTTACCCCTCCATTGGAAGGGGGGGGGGGAGCTGTGGGGACAATTGGCACAGCATCAGTGGTTAACATTTGCTTGTTTTCCTTGTTTTCTTTTTGGACGTTCTGTTTCTCTGTTCAGTCTTAAGTTTTTTGCAATTTCCTACTATGTGGGGTTTGTATTGAGATGTCTACCTTTCTGGGTGCCTATCCCTGGTCGATGGCAGACAGGGAATACCCCCAATTACAAGGAGGTTTCCCTAGGACATTGTTCCCTGCACCTCTCTGAGGGGGCCAGGTTCTGGCTCATGGTCCCTGGTAGGCAGAACTCCTTTGACTGAAGCCCAAGACTAATATAGCGTATATCAGTCCTATAGCTCCAGGGAGTGTCTGGGGGCTCACCCAGAAAATGGCGGTTCATTACAGTCAACGCTGGTTTTTTAATGGATAGCATAACTTGCTTCCTTTTTGCACCCTCAGTGATTGCTGCTGTTGCCAGACATGGTCTTAGCAAAGCAGTGTTCAGATTTATATTAAGGCAAATACGTTGGAAGTGAAAATGAGAAAAGTGTTTCTAGGCAGCAAATGACGTAACTTCTGTGTGACTCATTTTGAGAGTTCAAATTTACCTTGCTGTTGTCTATTTTGTTTCGCTATACCTTTATGGTGGTTTATTTCTTGGTTATGTCTGCTCTCTTTCTCTCTCTATGAGTAGACTTTGCTTTGGCCTTTGTGTTCTCTGGTAAGCATTTAGTGGTGCACAAGGGCCTGGTGATACGGTGCACGGGGGAGCTGATTATGGTGGCTAGCAACAGAGAGCCAACGAGGACCCACTAGAAAGATGGGGTTTGATTACATTCAGTGCTGTGTTTTTGTATTATACAGAATTTTATATTGTTTTCTTTCTTTTCCCAGGGTGATGAGGAGCTTGATTTGTGCTGAGCTGACCCAGACAGATGGTTGCTGTGACATCTTTTAGAGAGTTTGACAGTACCAGGAGGGTATGAGTTTACTTGCACGGTCTCTGTTGACCTGCACGGTCTCTGTTGACCTGCACGGCCTCCGATGGCCTGCACGGCCTCTGATGGTCTGCGTGGCCTCCGTTGGCCTGCATGGTCCCCGTTGGCCTGCATGGCCTCTGATGGCCTGCACGGTCCTTGATTACCTGCAGTCTCTGATGACCTGCATGGTATCAGATCACTGAGAAAGTTGAGTTATCTGCACTTAGAAAATATTTTGGCAAGATGATTTATTTTGAAGCTTAAGCTGTACGTACCTGTAAGATTTGTAGTCACTGTGACTGGCTTGAAACTTGATATAAGGAATATGTCAGAAACTCAGAAGCTTTCATCTTGCCATATACTTTCTTGGTGAACTAACAGGCACATGCTAAACACAAGATCACCTAGTAACCAGCCTGGTTTGAAAAATGTGCACCATTTACAGTGAGACCGTGTTATTAATAGGAAGCTAGTAAATGGGCCACTGTTCCTAAGCTGCAAGGAATAAAAGAAGTTCGACTTTTATTATAGAGATGGGGGGGAAATATGGCTTTCTGTATTCATTCTGGATGGTCAGTTTTTTTTTTAGTTTCAATTTTAATTGTGTACTTTTAAATTTGTTTTTTTTCTAAAGAAACAAGTTTCAGTCAAATATTGACCAGTATCTTCTTGAACCAGTTAGCCTAATGCAGCAGCCAACTTCCTGGACTTCTCAGAAAGGAAACCTATGTTTCTAGGGGCCGTGTAGCTAGTGCAACCGGTCAATTTTCTGAAACCTGCAGACAGAGTTTGAAAGCTTCCTTCTTTTATTTAGCTGTGTCAGCTCTGCAACACACATTTGTTCTGCTAGTCATCAAATGTGATTTTAGCTAGTAGGTTAGGTCACAAGCAGTTAATAAAGTGTGGCTGGAAGAGTGACTCCATAATGTGATATACGGAAGCATGCAGAGGATGCTGTGCATGTCAGTTGCAGTCAGCATATCTAAGTCATACCCAGAATGTGTTGTTTGTCATGAAATCTGAACACATGACCTGATTTGTTGTCAGTTTGCATTGTCTGAGATGTTACTTAATATATTCTGAAAAACAACTTTTGTAGTTCATTTCACATGACAGAACACACCTCATGCAACAGAAGAACTAACGTATTTATGCAGTTCTTGCGAAATGTCTTAAGCAACAGACGAGCTACCAGGCTCGCACAGCTGTCAAGTCACGCGACAAAATCTGATTAAATTGCGGAAAAAAACAAAAATTGAGAATGGTGAAGGGAATCCTACTGTTGTTACACTTAGAATTTGACTTGTTGATTTTTCTAGACATTATTGATTTATGTTTTTTGTTACTAGAACGTTCAATCTTCTAATACATGTATAAGTATAAATTTTTTGTTTAGAAGCAAATTTAATGTCTGATTAAAAAATGTTTGGGCTGCTAATCTTGGGCCAGATTCACGAAGCAGTTACACAAGTACTTACGAACGTGTACATCTTTTCTCAATCTTTGACGGCTTTGTTTACATTTATTAAACAGTTTACAAGCTTGAAAACTTGCCAATCAACTGTTGTTATTGTTATAAACAGCCTCCTGGTGCTTCGGAGCTCATTAACTGTTTAATAATTGTAAACAAAGCCGCCAAAGATTGAGAAAAGATGGACAGGTTTGTAAGTACTTGCGTAAGTGCTTTCGTGAATCTGGCCCCTTGTTATTAATTGTTATAGTGATATATAGATATTGTCCTTGAGGTATTATCCACGGGGTCATTGACTGTATCTAAGAGTAGAGGTGAACACAGTGGCTGTGCTCCACGGGGTCATTGACTGTATCTAAGAGTAGAGGTGAACACAGTGGCTGTGCTCCACGGGGTCATTGACTGTATCTAAGAGTAGAGGTGAACACAGTGGCTGTGCTCCACGGGGTCATTGACTGTATCTAAGAGTAGAGGTGAACACAGTGGCTGTGCTCCACGGGGTCATTGACTGTATCTAAGAGTAGAGGTGAACACAGTGGCTGTGCGGTGAGTGTTGCCCTCATCACTTCCAAAATCCTTGGACATCATAATAAATTTTTTGTTTCAAGTAACATGTGCATCATAGATTCTTGGATGTACAGTTAATGAACACACATGCACACACAATATATATATACATAAAATGAAGACAATTAAATACATGGATATGCATGCATATATATATAAAAAAATACACACAGTATACATACAGATTTAGTTTTAGTTAATACTTTATCCCAAGTACTAGATGAAGCCCTTTTGTTCAATATTCAGAAATGCACAATACGCATCACTGATGGTAGTTTTTATTTATTTATTTTTTTTTTTATTTTAATTTATCAGGTGAGCAAAATTTGTCACCACTGTTAACTCACTTTTTTTTTTTTAAATATCTAGTTGCATATCATTCCATGGCAACACCACTCTTACTGCAAGCTGTGGTGATGGCAGATTCCCCCCCCCCCCTCAGATGACCCACTTAGAGTAGTGTGAAACCGATGACGCTTATATTAAAACAATTTTTAGGTGTTTCGTGTAATGCTCCTTATCTCCAGGTATAAACAGGGCAGAAATTTGCTGAAGGTAACTGGCAAAGTATTCAGGATTGATTTTATGCAGTTGTTACAGCATTCATAGTTTTGTGGTCATGTTTGCCAGTTGCCGGTATATTTAGAGCCTATTTAACCTGCTATCTGGTGGAATGTAATCAAACCAAAGACTTGTATACATCAGAGAAACATTTCATCAGGAGCATAATTTGGATTTTGGCCTCTCCCTATACATATTGGAAGAGGTTCAAAATTTGTAATCATTCCATATGTTGTGTACATCAACGATAGCAGTGTACTCACAGTTCTCCCATCTCTGCGTGTATGTGGTCAATACGTGCACTAGTCTCTCCTGTGTTTGTGTGTATGCCAGTTGTGCACATTCTTGTTTTATTATTAAAATCTGTGTAAAACAAGTACTTGTACATACTTCAGCATAGGTATGGCAACTTTTTGTCTTGCATTCAGATTCTACGAGCATAGCTAGATTTCTCTGTTGTCATGCAGGGAATATGCATCTTACCTGAAATCTAATTAACTCTTCTGGATTATTATATATCTCCTTTAGACCAGGAATCTAATAATCTTCTGGTTTTTTCGTGTGTCATCAATGTCTGTTTTTGTTATGGTTGTAATTGTGATAAAACATCGGTTTCTATTTTGCCTTGTTATTGAAAATAGTCCAAATTTCTTATGTATTATGTGAAGAGATTTACAGCCTTTAATGCTGTTACTGTTGATAATAGTAAGTTGCCAGGCATGTATTATAACTGATTCCCAAGAAAAATGCAGCAATTTAATGTTATAGCCATTCAAGCTATCATAATGATTAAGAATTTGGACTTAAGTGTCTTAGAATAGATGTCATCAAATAAAGTTGACTGTGTCCTCATGAAAATAATATAGCTTAAGACTTTATTTATCAAATAAATGACCTGCAATATTAAAAACAGTTGTTTTAGATCAATTGATGTATAACCTTATTGTTATAAAGCTCATTGTAATGCTGTTAGTTTAGCCTTTTAATCAGTGTATAGTTCATTAAAGATCCACTGGCCATCTGATTAAATGTCCTCTGGCTTAGGCACTTATCCTACATATTTGAAGGAGACCACTGGAATAAAGCTCCCGTCCTGGATCTTAATTAACCACTCATTAACTAAATGAATCATTTGTGATCACTGTGATTTAGTATTATATCTCTCGCCTTCCTCCCTCCTCCACACACAAAAATGTTGGTACTAGTGAAAGTAATGTGAATACCATTCCTTGAAAATATGGCCTCGGCATTTGTAGCTCTTGGAATGCTTTTAAAATTAAAATTGCCAAATCTTTCTGATACATCTCTTTGGTGCTTAAAAGGTTTCTGATCTTGCTGTGTTAGTGGATCTTGTATGTAATGGCATGGGAAAATTCAGCAATTGCTATTTGTGTGTGAATGAGGGCTGAAGATTGACAATATACATACATACATACAGTACATACATACATACATACATACATACATACATACATACATACATACATACATACATACATATATGTATACATATATATATGTATACATATATATATATGTATACATATATATATGTATATATATATATATATATATATATATATATATATATATATATATATATATATATATATATATATATATATTTATATTTATATATATATATATCACACACATATATAGAGAATATAGAAAAGGTTTTCAGGCTTGGCCGGTACAGCAAGTACAAAGATCGATTGATAAAAGTGGTTTTCAAGAGCGAGGACACAAAATAAATTTTAGCAAAGAACAGCCTACTCAATGTACTGAAGTTCAAAAAGGTATTCCTACAGAGGGATATGACCTGGGAGGAGAGATTGAGGGCAGCAGCAGCGAGGAAGGAGTGCAAGGAGAGGGACAGGAATCAGGGAACCACAGCTCAGAACCCTATGATCCCAGAAGGGAGTGGTGGAACCCTCCACAGGCAGTTCAACAGCCCCAGTGGGAGGAGGATCACACCCATTTCCCACTCAATAGAAGCCCTACCTGCCCCAGCCCCTACACTCCTCCACCCTAAGCCCTCCCTTCTCCCCCACCCCTCTATCCCCTCCTTCCTCCCCCACCCCGTATCCCCCTCCCTTCTCCCCACTCCCCCTAAGCCCTCCTGTCTCCCCCCCACCCCCCTAAGCTCTCCTGTCCCCCCCCCCAAGTCCTCTCTCCTCCCCCTCTCCCCAAAACTCTCCTTGTATATAAAAGTTGCCCCCCCTCTTTTCCCCATCCCCCCAAGCCCTCCCTTCTCCCCCACCCCTCCAAGCCCTCACTTCGCCCCTACCCTCTCCAAACCAGATCCTCCCAGCCCCCCCCACACCCTCAGCCCCCCCTCAACCCAGGGGGCCCCCCTTCCCCCTTCCCATCCCAGACCCTCCATGTTTACCTACTCCAGTGGAATCAACAGAAACTGAGGATGGACAGAAAAGAGTCAGCTTTAAGGTGATGTACTTGAACATAGATGGGATTACAAGCAAGGCGAGTGAATTTGGGGAAAGAGCACAAGAAGTAAACCCAGATGTAATTGGACTCGCGGAAATAAAACTCTCAGGAATCATAATGAATGCGGTGTTCCCCCAGTATTACACTAATCAGGAAAGAGAGGGAGGGTAGGGGGAAGGCTCAGTGGCCCTACTCATGAGAAAGGAATGGAGTTTCAAGGAGATGGTTATCCCAGACTGTGAAGGGTTTAGACTACACAACAAGCACCATGACGATGGGAGGACCAAGAGTAGTAGTAGCAGTGATATATAACCCTCCACCAAATGACAGAAGACCCAGGCAAGAGCATGACAGAAACAACATGGCAGTTAATAACATAATTAAGAGGGCTGCCTGAAGAAATCGATCACATCTGCTCATCATGGGGGACTTCAATCATGGAAGGATAGACTGGGAGAACAAGGAACTGCACAGAGGAGAGGATACATGGAGAGCCAAACTAGTGGAGGTGGCGACAAGAAACTTTCTAAGCCAACATGTCAGGGAACTCACTAGGATGAGGGGAAATGATGAATCAGCGAGAGACTACCTAGTCTTCACTCTGAATGACTCTGACATAAGGGAAATTGACTTAAGAGGCCCCAGTAGGAATGAGCGATCACAGTGTACTGACGTTTGAGTATCTGGTCGAAGAAGGGCTAAAGTACTCGAGAAAGGGAACTGAGAGCAAAAGGCTAGCAGTCCGTAAGGGAAATTATGAGGAGATGAGAAAATTCCTAACAGATATAACATGGGAATCAGAGCTAAGGGGAAAAGACGGCCCAAGACATGATGGAATATATCACACAGAACAAGGAGGCAGCAGAAAAGTTTATCCCGGCCCAAAAGGTAAAAAATGAAATGCAGATGAGAAACCCATGGTTTAATCAGAGATGTAAGCCAGCAAAGCAACAAAGTAAAAGAGCATGGAGAAACTATAGAAATAACAGGACACTTGAGAACAGAGAAGGATACCAGAGAGCCAGGAATGAATACGTCAGGGTGAGAAGAGAGGTATAAGGGCAATATGAAAATGACATAACAAACAAAGTTAAGACCCAACCCAAATTGCTGCACAGACACATCAGGAGAAAGACAACAGTGAAGGAACAGGTAATGAAACTGAGGATTGGGGCAGACAGATTCACTACAAACGACAAAGAAGTGTGCGAGGAACTCGATAAGAAATTCCAGGAAGTCTTCACATTAGGGCAAGGGGAAGTTCCAGAGATAAGAGAAGGAATAGTTAACCAGGCACCACTAGAGGAATTTGAGATTACCAGTGGGGATGCAAGGAAGCTTTTCCTAGGGTTGGATGTGATAAAGGCTATAGGCCCGGATGAAATATCGCCATGGATACTAAAAGGAGCAGAAGCACTGTGCCTGCCACTCTCCATGGTGTATAACAAATCATTGGTAACAGGTGAACTGGCAAAAATTTAGAAGGCGGCAAACGTAGTCCCGATATACAAGGGGGATAGACAGGAGGCACTGAATTACAGGCCAGTGGCCCTAACTTGCATACCATGCAAGCTAATGAAGAAAATTGTGCGAAAAAAGCTAGTGGAACATCTGGAGCGAAGGAACTTTGTGACACAACACTAACATGGTTTCAGGGATGGCAAGTTATGGCTCACAGGATTAAATGAATTCTACGATCAGGCAACAAGAAAGAGAGGGGTGGGCAGACTGCATAATTTTGGATTGCCAGAAAGCCTTTGACACAGTGCAACACCAGAGACTGGTGCTGCACTGTTGGAGATGTAGGCAGGAGTGAAAAGGAAGGTACTCCATTGGATAAGGGAGTACCTAAGTAACAGATGGCTGTGAGGGGTGAGGTCTCAGATTGGCGAGAAGTCACCAGTGGGGTCCCACAGGGTTCAGTCCTTGGACCATACTGTTTCTTATATATGTAAATGATCTTCCAGATGGGATAGAATCATTCCTCTCATTGTTTGCTGATGATGCAAAAATTATGAGGAGGATTAAGACGGAGGAAGACAGTATGAGACTGCAAGGTGACCTAGACAGACTGAATGAATGGTCCAACAAATGGCTACTAAAGTTCAACCCGAGTAAATGTAAGGTAATGAAACTAGGCAGTGAAAACAGGAGGCCAGACACAGGATACAGAATGGGAGATGAAGTCCTTCATGAAATGGACAGAGAAAGATCTAGGAGTTGATATCACACCAAACTTGTCTCCTGAAGCCCACATCAAAAGAATAACATCGGCGTAAGCGAGGCTGGCTAACATCAGAACAGCCTTCAGGAACCTGTGTAAGGAATCATTCAGAACCTTGTCTACCACATATGTAAGGGCCTGGAGTATGCGGCCCCAGCATGGAGTCCGTACCTTGTCAAGCACAAGGCGAAGCTTGAAAAAGTGCAGAGATATGCCACTAGGCTAGTCCCAGAACTAAGAGGCATGAGCTACGAAGAAAGGTTGCGGGAAATGCACTTCACGACACTAGAAGACAGAAGAGTAAGGGGAGACATGATCACTACCTACAAAATCCTCAGGAATTGACAGGGTAGATAAACTGTTTTAACACGGGTGGTACGCGAACAAGGGGGGACACAGGTGGAAACTGAGTACCCAAATGAGCCACAGGGACGTTAGAAAGAACTTTTTCAATGTCAGCGTAGTTAACAAATGGAATGCATTAGGCAGTGATGTGGTGGAAGCTGACTCCATTCACAGTTTCAAATGTAGATATGATAAAGCCCAGTAGGCTCAGGAATCTGTACATCAGTTGATTGACAGTTAAGAGGTGGGATCAAAGAGCCAGAGCTCAACCCCCGCAAGCACAATTAGGTGAGTGCACACACACACACACACACACACACACACACACACACACACACACACACACACACACACACACACACACACACACACACACACACACACACACACACACACACACACAGAGGGCAGTAATCAGAGGCAATGTATCAGAATGGAGAAATGTCACAAGTGGAGTACCACAGGGCTCAGTTCTTGCACCAGTGATGTTTATTGTGTACATAAATGATCTACCAGTTGGTATACAGAATTATATGAACATGTTTGCTGATGATGCTAAGATAATAGGAAGGATAAGAAATTTAGATGACTGTCATGCCCTTCAAGAAGACCTGGACAAAATAAGTATATGGAGCACCACTTGGCAAATGGAATTTAATGTTAATAAATGTCATGTTATGGAATGTGGAATAGGAGAACATAGACCCCACACAACCTATATATTATGTGAGAAATCTTTAAAGAATTCTGATAAAGAAAGAGATCTAGGAGTGGTTCTAGATAGAAAACTATCACCTGAGGACCACATAAAGAATATTGTGCAAGGAGCCTATGCTATGCTTTCTAACTTCAGAATTGCATTTAAATACATGGATGGCGATATACTAAAGAAATTGTTCATGACTTTTGTTAGACCAAAGCTAGAATATGCAGCTGTTGTGTGGTGCCCATATCTTAAGAAGCACATCAACAAACTGGAAAAGGTGCAAAGAAATGCTAC